TATAAAATCATTTGTAAAAGTAAAACCTGCTTAAGGCAGAAACGTATCAAAGACGGAAAACTCAAATATTTTCTACTAAAACGAGCAATAGAAAAGTGGTAAGACTGCATGAGACTGCACCCTGTCAAAGGCAGGAAACTTGTGAGACCCAGAAAAACAAGGCAGTCCCATCAAGTTCCAGCTCTCACAGGTTTCACTGTATATATTTGTGTGTGTGTGTTCATGTATATATATGTATATAGAGAGAGACCTGGTGGCACAGTGGCTAACTGCTCAGCTACTAACCGTAAGATCAGTGGTTCCAACCCATCAGCAGCTCCATGGGAGAAAGATGTAGCAGTCCGTTTGTGTAAAATTTACAGCCTTGCAAACAGTATGGGGCACTTCTACTTTGTCCTATAGGGTCGATACGAGTCGAAATCGACTCAACAGCAATATATACCAAAACCCATTACCCACTGCTGTCAAGTCGATTCTCACTCATATTATTCATCTCCCCTAATAGAATATTAACTCTATGAGAGTAAGTGTTTTGTTCTCTTCACTGTTGTGCCTCAAGAGCCTAAAACCACATTGGGCAGATGGTGGGTGTTCATAAATATTTCTTGATGAAAATTTTTGAAAAATGCACGTGGAGCATATAACAGCTATGGTGATGAAAACAAAGACAACCATGTAAACAATCAGGAACACAACTATGAAAGGTTGTGTGCTCTTGAACAAAACCCCTTTTGTTTCCTCAGATACTTTCTTTCATTAATATCTCCCCTCTTCCTCCTCACAGGCTTCCTCCCTTCAGCTATTGTAATATCGTATAATGTTGTTGCTAGCTGCCATTGAATTGGTTTCAACTCATGGTGACCTTATGTATAACAAAACTAAATGTTGCCCAGTCCTGTGCCATCTTCGTGATTCTTGGTACCTTTGCTTCCATTGTTGTGGATATTATGTCAGTCTATCTCATTGAGGGTTTTCCTCATTTTCATTGGTCTTCTACTTTACCAAACATAATGTCCTTTTCTAGCCATTGGCTTTCCTGATGACATGTCCAAAGTCTCGACATCCTCGCTTCTGAGGAGCATTCTGGTTGTATATCTTCTAAGACTGATTTGTTTGTTCTTTTGTTAGTCCACAGTATATTCAATATTCTTCATCACTCCACAGTTTGAATGCATCAATTCTTCCTCTATCTTCCTGTGTAATGTTGTTGTTGTTAGCTGCCCTCAAGTCAGCCCCAACTTATGGAGACCCCATGCACAATGGAACTATATGCTGCCCAGTCCTGTACAATCCCCATGATCAGTTGCTGATCAGACCATTGTGATCCATAGGGTTTGCATTGGCTGATTTTCAGAAGTAGATTGCCTCCTAGTCCATCTTAGTCTGGAAGCTCCGCTGAAACCTATAATATTAGCCCACCATAAAGAAAAACGGTAAAATATATCTTCCTTAAATCTATATTATCTTATTAGATATAGTCCAGTATCTTCGAAGTTTAACTGTAAAAAAAGAGTGGTCTATACTAGCTCAAAGCAGCCTTGGTGGTGCAGTGGTTAAGCGCTTGGCTGCTAACCGAAAGGTCAGCGGTTTGAATCCAGCCACTCAGCGGAAGAAAGATGTGGAAGTCTGCATCTCTAAAAATTACAGCCTTGGAAACCCTATGGGGGCAGTTATATTCTGTCCTATAGGGTCGCTACGACTCAGAATTGACTCAAAGGCAGCGAGTTTGGGTTTTTTGTTTTTTTTTAATACTAGCTCACAGCTGGTTAACCAAAACAAATCTTGAATAAGTAGACTCTTTTGAATATACTATTTTTATCTATTAACTAATTCCAAGTTGAAATAAACTGGTTAATATTCACATGGTTAAAATATTAATAATTATAAAATAGTATGCAGTGAAAGGTAGATCTTTTTTCTTACTCAGTCCTCCCTTTCCAAAAGAAACTGGATGCATTCTGTGTATCTTTCCAGAAAGTATGTATGCATATCCAAGCATATAAATATCCTTTTAAAATATCAAATAATAACATGCTGTACATATAATTCTGCACCTTGGTTTTCTTTCAGTTAAAAACACATCTTGGGTAACTTTCTTAAGTCACATAAAGAGCTACATCATTCTTTTTACTGGCTACATAGTGTTTAGTTATATGGATATAATGTCATCCATTTAACTAGTTCCATATTTTATAGACATTTAGTGTGTATCCAGTTGTTTTTTATTGTAAACAATGCTGCAACTAACAGCCTTGTATATAAGTCCTTGCACACTCCTTCAAACACATCTATAGATAAATTCTTAAAAGTGGAATTGCTGGGATAAAGGTTATTTGTGTCTTCAAGTTTGATTTAAATTGGGAAATTCTCTTCCAAAATGGTATATGAAATCAGTAGTGTTTTCAACTCCTCTAACTAGTGAACAATTATGAGTAACGGTGAGTCAAATCATATTTTTGGTGAGTGGAAGGGAGTAGTTCTTGATGCTCCTTAAATCAAAAAATAAAAGCAGCGAAACGACTTCCAATGAAAATGTTAGTACTCTGCTATGAATGATACACATTTAGTACAAAGGAAAACCTGTTACTGTTTCTGGAAAAAAATTACTTTGAATCACTTTTCTTTACCAGGCAATAAGTTTCACCACGGTATCAAACGGACTTTCCCAGTCTTCAGTAATTCCCTCCTCTAAGTCAGCCTCTTAGAAACCCACGACCAATGGAAACAGGAGTTTTTGGTTTTTTTTTTGAAATTGAACTCAGAGGCTCTCAGGGGCACAACCGATTTCCTACGCTTCTGGGCTGGGCAGCTAGAGTTTCAACTCTTGTCCTTTGAGTTGTGTTGTTTCTTTTTATTTATTTATTTTTTTAACTGTCAGCGTGCTTCTTTAAAGGTACTAATTCTCTTTTGTTAGTGAAAAAGAATTTTTTTTGTTTCTCTGCCGTATTTCTGCTACAGATTGTAAGCTCTTTAAGGGTGGGGTGGAGGACGGTGTTTGTATACGGTTGTCTAAACTTCAGTGGTTTTCAGCCGCTCTCGGCTCGCGTCCGGGATTTGCAGTCTGCTGCAACCGAGCTCGTTCAGACCTTTAAACCCCCTTCCACCCTTCAGCGTTGGACGCGCAGCTTGGCGGGCGCCCCCCGCCGCCCGGACGCCCCGTGGTTCGGCCCATGACGTCACAAGGCAGCAGCCCAATCAGACGCGGCGTTTGGGAAATTTTAAACTTAAAGGCGGGGCGGGTCGTGCGCCGGGGGATATACGGGAGCCTCCGGACGTGGCGGGTTTCCGTCAGTTTCCTGGGGCCGGGTCGGGCACAATGGCGGAGGAAGGGGCTGTAGCCGTCTGCGTGCGGGTCCGGCCGCTCAACAGCAGGTAGGTGCACCAGGCCCTGGTCCGGTTCCGATTTCGGCCCGCGGCGCCGGCCGGGGTGGGACGGGTGAGTCCTCCGGTGTTTCCCAGAGCTGCCCCTTCCCAGCTCCACTGCCTCATCATTCGACTACGTACCTGCTTTGAACCTCGGTTTTCCCCTCAGTAAAGAGACCGGGAGGAATTAGAGGATCTAGAAAGCACTTTCTGGCTATGGAACTCAGGCTCGCTGACGTTAACCTTAACACCGGGGCTCCACTGCCTTTCTTGCATCTGCTTCTCCCCACCCCACTTGTCTCTCTAGGGAAGTCAATCGGGAGGTCCTTCTGACACTCATCACAGCTAGTCACTTTACACTCACCTGCCTTTCCCTCTTTACTGTAAGCTCCCTGCGGGAAAGGACTAGTCTGTCTTGTAGCATTATATTCAGTAGGCACTCAATACAGATTTCATGCATGCATTCATTTAGCAAGGTATTTATCAATACTGATTTTTTGGTATGTACGCTGTACTAAACAGACACGACCATCGTTGCCCTGTAGAACTTACATGCTAGTGGGGGAGTTAGAAAACAAAGTAAAAAAATATATAGACTATTAGGTGGTAATAAATGAGTAATAAATACTATAAAGAAAAGTAAAGCAGGAGAGGGGAATAAATGAATTTTTATTTCTCTAGTCTCTGACTCTCTCTCCAGAATGCTAACTTGCATTTTGTGTTTGACAAATCTATTGAACACAACTGAGTGGTTTATTAATGAGAATATCAAGATGGGGAATTTCCTATCTTTAAGGAGCTCATTATCTAATGAAGACAGCTACATAAAGAAATCATTACAATGCATTGTGACGAGTGTTGTGGCAGGTAGGGAGGAGTCATTAGCCCATCAGGGAGATGACAGTTTGGGGTGGAGGAGGATGTCAGAAAAGTCCTTCACGAGTGAACCAAAAAAACCCATTACCATCGAGTCAATTCTAACTCATAGTGAGCCTGTAGGACAGAGTAGAACTGCCCCATAAGGTTCCAAGGAGTGCTTGGTGGATTCGAACTGCTGACGTTTTGGTTAGCAGCCGAACTGTTAACCACTACGCCACCAGGGCTTCCTCATGAATGAAAGAATAGAAAAATAACTTAGTGGAAGGGAAAGCCAGGGTATCCCAGGCATAGAGGTGTTGGATCTGTCACTGGCGGGAGACCTTCAAGTAGATTTGTGTGGAGTTTAGAATGTCTATAGGAATTTCAAGGAAGATGAGGTTGAAGAGCGAGATGGTCATGATCCAGATCTTGTAAGCCTTTAAGAGTTTCCATAAGGGTTTTAAGCAGGAGGGACATAATCACAATTGCGTTTTGAATGTATCCTTTCAACTGGCAGTAGAAGGTGGGAGGGTAGGAGTGAAGGGCTTAACAAGAAGAATCTTAGGAGAGGGCAGAAGGTCATTGGAACTCCATTTAAGAGAGCTGAACCCTCAAAAATGGATTCTCCATCTTCCTCTTGTATGTGGTATAAGTCATTACTATCCTAAAAAAAATTCTTCAAAGATAATAATCTTTTCAATTATGTTTTCTATACCATGATTTTTATGACCAGTTATACTAAAGTATAACATTTTTGTTCTTTTAGAGAAGAAGCTCTTGGAGAAGACACTCAAGTTTACTGGAAAACTGACAAGAATACCATTTATCAAGTTGATGGGAGTAAATCCTTCAATTTTGGTAAGCTCATAATAGTATTAAAGATTAGCTTGCTATCCTTTTCCTGTTAAGAGCACAGAGGCTGATCAATAATATTGGATCTGTCATTAAAGATCAGATTAAGCCTTCTCTGGAGCCCTAGTGGCGCAGTGGTTAAGAGCTCAGGCTGCTAACCAAAATGTTGGCAGTTCAAAGCCACCAGCTGCTTCTTGGAAACCCTATGGGACAGTTCTTCTCTGTCCTACAGGATCCCCATAAGTTGGAATCGACTCAACGGCAGTGGGGTTTTTTTTTAGCCTTCTTTAAACTGCTTCACTGTAAACTTAAAAACATTTGTTTATTTGTCATGTATGGTAAGTAGGATAAATTGATATTTAAAATACAGTTAAAGTCATAGTAACTTATGCCTGAAACTAGCATTTCCTCATCTTATTCAGTAGAGTATTTGTGGCCTAAAACTATACACCCAAGATATATTCCTTGATATCAAGTCATTGTTAAGATCTTCAGTTTAATATATTCTTCCCGCAATTATTTTCAGTAAAACTCTTTGAAGAATAAATGGTGAAGCTATTCCTTCTTCTTGTGCATTACCCTTGAAAAATTCCTAGTATTTGTCCTTAGAGAATTTTTATTCATTCATCCGTTTACCAAATATTTATGAAGTACCAAATATTTTTGTCAGCTGGAATACAGTGGGGACCTACCACTGCTTTTGTGCAGCTTATAGTATGGTGGGAAGAAACATTTTAATTAATTACACTTGTAATAAGATAAGCTTTGTAGACATTTATAGTAGGGGATCTAACTCCGTCTAGGTGTTGGGAAAGGTAGCACTATGCTAAGACCTGAAGGATGAGTAAGAGCTAGGTAGGCCAGAAGGACCTGGAGGCCTTGAAAGGTAGAATAGACTGATTAGTTTACTGATTTAACATGTGTATAGTGCTGACCATGTGCCAAGCACTGTTCTAAACATTTCATGTATATTAACTCTTGTAATAAGCCAGTGTGGTAGGTACTATTGCTTTCCCCATTTTAATAAGGAACTGAAATGGAGAGCCCAGAGTCACATGGCCAGCAAGTGGGAGAGTGCCATGGGAGGGACGGTTGGTGACAGAATTGGTAAAAAGGTTGGAGGGTGAAGGGCATCTGACCTCAGCCTCACAGGAATCAGCCTTGGGCTATTGATGATTCTCCTTTCCCCCTGTGAAGTTAGAGATCAGGCGCCCCCGCCATGTCATTTTTACAGATCTGTGTTCTATTACCATGCTGCTGCCTACGTAGCATAGAGCAACAGTGAGGTCCTCTCAACAACCTTAGGAAAAAGAATGATAAAGTTGTTATCTTAGTGTTTATCTTAGTCATCTAGTGATGCTGTAACAGAAATACCACAAGTGGGTGGCTTTAACAAAGAGAAATTTATTCTTTCACAGTCCAGTAGGCTACAAGTCCAAATTCAGTGCATCAGTTCCAGGCTTTCTCTCTCTGTCAGCTCTGGAGGAAGGTCCTTGTGATGCAGCAGTCTTCCCTTGGTCTGGGAGCATCTCAGCACAGGAATCTCAGGTCCAAAGGACCCTCTCTGCTCCCGGCACTGCTTTCTTGGTGGTGTGAGGTTCTCATGTGTCTCTGCTCGCTTCTCTCTTTTATATCTCAAAAGAGATTGGATTAAGACACTATCTAATTTTGTGAACCTCATCAGTATAACCTCATCATAGTGACAGAGTTTACAACACATAAGGAAATCACATATAACCTCATCATAGTGATAGAGTTTACAACACATAAGGAAATCACATCAGATTTACAAAATAGTACACAATCGTACAATACTGGGAATCATGACCCAGACAAGTTGACAGATATTTTGGGGATACACAATTCAATCCATGACAGTGTTAAACTGGAAGGCTAATGTACAAGGTTTTGGAGCAGAGATTTATAGGAGAGAAAATGATTCATATATGTCAGATATTATGGAACCAAGAGTGAGAGATTCAGACTCAGATACTGCAGGTTCTCAATGGCCATTTATCCTCATAGGGGATTTGAACTCATCCATCTTTCTGATGTGAACGGCATTAAATATTTGAATAATCCAGCTAACTCCCCCTTGCTCTCAAATCGTGACCCCTAAGCAGCCTTCAGGGAGCTCTAACGGCACAGGAGTTAAGCTCTCAGCTGCTAACCGAAGGGTCAGTGGTTTGAACCCACTAACCATTCCGCAGGAGAAAGATGTGGCAGTCTGCTTCTGTAAAGATTACAGCCTTGGAAACCCTATGGGGGCAGTTCTACTCTGTCCTATAGGGTTGCTATGAGTCGGAATCAACTCCACGGCAACGGGTTTGGTTTTTTTTTTTAAGCAGCCTTCAGATGACATTTTGGTTCCCCATATAGTTCTGCTCCCAGGCCAGTGTACAGTCTTGATGTGAGCACTCCAGTGCGTGATCACTGAATTTTTCACTGCAAGTCAATACATTTCCCTTTTGACATACTTACCCATTTCTTGCAAGCTTTTGATCTGAGGCCAACATTAAAAGAGTGGTCCATTCTTAGTGTGTTAACAAAAGCAGAGAACCAGATCCCACCTACACTGGTGAATTTATCAGTGCAAATACTACCCTAAACCCAGTCTTTAGCAGCCAGCCAACTGCTCATTTCTATCACAGTTCAACTTTGTTCATGCTTTTCTTTCAAATATTCGCAGTCTTTGATTCAGTTTAAGCTAGGCCTTCTAGCCACATATGTTATAAACATTAAAACTTCTCAAAGCATATTAATAGTTCACATTTCCTGAGCATAGCTATATGCTCACAATATGAAGAAGGTAATATATACCCATTTTACAGATAAGGGAACTGAGGGGGAGAGACATTAACCACCTTGCTCAAGGTCGCACAGTTTGTAAGTGGCACAACCAGCATTTGAATCCAGGCAATCTGATTCCAGACCCTGTCGTCAACCAGTATGCTCTATTACCTCTTGAAAACACATAGATTAGTTTACTTCTAGTGTATCTTTTCTGTGTAAGGACTTAACACATTTTACCTTATAGTGGTATATTTTCAAAGGGCCAGTAAGTTGAAGAAAATGCTGTGTCTTAAATATTTTATCATACCATCTCCTGACAATTTTATTTCTTTGAGTAACTACTGATTCAAAATGAAAACACCGTTGATTTGTTTGGTTAAGTTATGTGTGTGTGTTTTTGTTTTTTTTTTTAGATCGTGTCTTTCATAGTAATGAAACCACTAAAAATGTGTATGAAGAAATAGCAGTACCAATCATAGAGTCTGCCATACAAGGCTACAATGGTTTGTATTTACCACATGCTGCAGAATCATTTTAGTTTTGTGTGCCTTGACGCAGTGGTTAAAGAGCTTGGCTGCTAACCAGAAGGTTGGCAGTTCGAATCCACCAGCTGCTCATTGGAAACTCTATGGGGCAGTTCTACTCTGTCCTGTAGGGTCGCTATGAGTCAGAATTGACTCGATGGCAATGGATTTTTTTTTTTCTTCAACAAATGATAGTTTTACACATTGTATATTCATTTCTAATCTTTGCATGTGTGTGTGTGTTTTGTTTTCTGCAGGTACTATATTTGCCTATGGGCAGACTGCTTCAGGGAAAACATACACTATGATGGGTTCACAAGATTACTTGGGAGTAATTCCCAGGGCAATTCATGACATTTTCAAAAAAATTAAGGAGGTAAATCATTTGGCTGAATTTCTAGTACATGCAAGTAAAGGTTGTAATTGGATAGCAATCTTAGTGTTTTTCTCTTAGAATGATGAAAAGATGTAGATTTACATTTATCTCTTGATTATCCATGGAGAAAATAAGAAAAACATAGCGTAGATTCACTTTTTCCCACAAACTTACTTTTCAGAGCTTAAACTTGTTTCATTCTTTCTGCAGCGGGACTACCCCCACCAAAAAGTGTGGGCATTAAGGAACAGGAAGAGTCTTACCAGACTGATTAGCTACTTGTTGCCTTTGTTTAGCTGCCAGTGATTATTAAGGAACAGTAAAATAACCGAAAAGTGATGGAGATAAAAGGGAAGTGAAGGCCAGAATAGATAACCTAATTAGTTAAGAGTTAGTTTTAAATTAGCTTTTTCAGTAAAATTGGAACATCTGTTGGTAGGGTTTTAGTTTGAGCTTAGGGAGTTGGACTGGATTTTCCCCTCTTCTAATCCTATATTTGCAGGTATAATACTATACTTTTTATTATTTCTGAAACAATGCTTTTGTATTTCGGTGTTTACTATTTTCAACATAGAACCATAAGACTCTTTGGTTTTTTGTTTGTTTGCTTTACAAAGATAATTTTTCCTTTTTTACTTTAATATTAGTGCGTGAACCATTCAGTATTAAGTTTTCATAATTGGATGCTCTCTGGTGTTTTTACATATTTATTTTTCTTCTAGTTTCCTGATAGGGAATTTCTCTTACGTGTGTCTTACATGGAAATATACAATGAAACCATTACAGATTTACTCTGTGACACTCGAAAAATGAAACCTTTAATAATTCGAGAAGACTTCAATGTGAGTAGTAGAGTTAATGTGGACTTACTTAAGATTATTGTTCTTGGACAGTAGCCTTTAATTTCTATATTTTTAAGTGTCTTCTGTTTCTGTAGTTTTCCTTTTTATTTTTTAAGTGTTTATAGAGATCCATCTTTTAAGCAATGTGTATAGTTTTAAAATACAGCTGTAATATTTTGATTGAGGTGCCTAAAAGTAGCAAGATGGAAGTGTCAGGTTAGATTTTGGTGTGCTTTGGAATAAGAAATAAATTGTGAGTTTCATAGTTTGCTTGTCACTTTCCTACAGATTGATAGCTTCCGTTTTCCACTTATAACTTCCCTAAGTGAATTCTATAATACTGTGTGCCTTCTTTTTGAGAGTCAAACTTTTAAGTGACTTCTGTTTCTCTTATCTTCCTATAATTAAACTTGTTTCAGAGGAATGTATATGTGTCTGATCTCACAGAAGAAGTGGTTTATACATCAGAAATGGCTTTGAAGTGGATCACAAAGGGAGAAAGTAAGACTTTGTTCTGTATTCTTTAACATACTTGTAAAAACTAACTCTTCAGCAGTTTGTTTAAGCTTCAAGTCACACTTTTACTTTTAAGCTAGAATAAAAGTTAATGTTTTTCATTGGATTTTAATATGTACAGCTGAAACATGACTAATTTTTGCAGAGAACAGACATTACGGAATAACAAAAATGAATCAAAGAAGCAGCCGTTCTCATACCATCTTTAGAATGGTTGGTAATTTTCTCTTTCTCACTGTTTATTTGATCTTTCCAATTAAGAATGCATTGATTTTTCTACAAGTTGCTTCTTCTGTCTAGATTTTGGAAAGTAGAGAGAAGGGTGAACCTTCTAACTGTGAAGGATCTGTCAAGGTGTCCCATTTGGTGAGTATTGATGAGTCATGATAAAGGCTTATATGGGCCTCAGCAGACTTTGATTCAGCTGCTGGACGTTTGGTTTAACAAGAACTGTTAACTGAACTAAATAGGAAAAAAGAATCTATAAATTGGTAGTTTAACTAGTTTTGTCAGAAGCATTGGATTAAGAGTTGAAATGTTGTAGGAAGAAGTCAAAAGATCTTTCTCCTTCTTATGTTATGGCTGCCATCTCCTAAAATTTAGGTGTAAGGACATAGGAGTCAAAGCTTTTTCCAACCAGTAATGAAGTAGGATTTTTTTTTTTTTTTTTTTGTATACACATTGAAGAATTGAAGTGATCTTGGGCTTGTGGAGTCAACAAAAGTCTAGGTTGGATGGTAAAAAATAAATAAGATTATTAGAGTTCTTAAGTACAAAACGAAAATAGGTTTTGTAGTATAAATGCAGTATTTTAGACTATAAATTCTGTAAGGAAAGAGTGATATTCGTCTTTGTAGACCAAACACATTGTACATATTTTGTGTTCAATAATTATTGGATTAGTAAATTTAAGCATTATGCAAGCAATCCTTTTTTCCATGTAAATAAACCTTCCCCATTTCCTCCTTGCTGCCCTGTATCATTGCTCTCTTTCACCGTGCTCTCTTCTTATCCCTCACCATTATTGCTTAGTTCTCCACTATTAGGGCCTCTGAATTCTTTAGGATTAGACTATTTGATCTGAAAACTTCAGAAGAAAAAAGTAGTAAATCTATATTATATTTATTTATCTTCAAATTTGGTAAAATCCGAATTTTACAAATTACTTAATATCCAATCCTAGCTTCACTCAGTTGTTTTGCTGTAAAAGTATAAAATTTATTTTATTAGACTTTAATCTTGTTTTAGTTTAACAAGGACAAATAACTAACCTCTTTTTTGTTTTCCAACCCTGGTCTATGATATTCATTATAATTTTAACTTTTAATAATTTAGCTTTAATATTCTTGGCATAAATATGCCACTCGGTGATTTTTCTCGTATTCCTTGATGCCCTGTCATCTATGGAACCCTGGGGTGCAGTGGTTAAGCACTGGGCTGCTAACCAAAACGTCAGCAGTTTGAATCCACCAGCCGCTCCTTGGAAGCCCTGTGGGGCACTTCTGCTCTGTGCTGTAGGGTCGCTATGGGTCGTAATCAACTCAACAGCAATGGGTTTGTTTGTTTTTTTAATCATCTATGCCTGTAGATAACATCTGCCCAACACTCTAGCCTACTCAGTTACTGTTAAGAATCATTTCAGAAAGAAGTCTTCTCAGAGAGTCATCTTCTGGCTCTTTAGAGGTGGCCCTTTCCTGTCTCTTTCCTTGGCCTTTGAGGGATGGTGATATCCAGGTTCTCTTAGCTCTGTTCCTTCTCTGTTCCCTTCTGTGGCTTCTTTTTTCCTGCCCTCGTAACAAAAACATGGAAGTGTTCTCTGTCCTTTCTTACTTCAAGTTCTTGCCTTCAGATATTCTGTCATTTCTATGTTGATGACTGCCAGATACTTATCGAGACTCTCTAATTCGTGTCTGCCTAAAGATTGTTGTAATTGTATGCCCCACTATTATCTCCAATTCCAGCATGTCTAAAATCAAATTAATTTCATCCTGCCTTAAAGAATCATCCTTTTTTTTTGCAACAATACCAGAATTATTCTGTTCACCTAGGCTGGAAACCTAAGTCAATTTTGGCTCATCTTTTTCTGCCTTCCCCTTTGTCCAGTCAGTTACCATTTCTTATTGATTCCACCTTAGAACATTCCCGTGCTGTCCTACTCATTTAGGTTCTCATCTGTTGAATTACTACATCAGATTTCTGGAACCTGGCCTCTGTAGCTCTGGTCTTCCTTCTACAGTCCATCATACAGACTGCTAATATTATCTAAGCACTGCTTTCATTATGTCACTTCCCTAGACAGGATCTGGCTACTCTTAACCAATCTAACTTCACTTCTTACTACTACATATGAACTCCTCCCTTATAGATAGATTGGGCCTCTTTGTTTCTTTGAACACAAATGCTTGTTCCCGTCTTTATATCTTAATGCATGCTGCGTTCATCACATTTGCTCCTTTATTATATATCTAGGTTATTTGTAGTAGCTACAATGAAAGAAAGATAGATTCTTTGAGTGTTTTAGAGAAATAGCTGAGATAGGACTAAAAAACAGGAGTACCTAATTTCCTGCCCATCTCTGAAAATCTCCATAAAGCTCTCACTTTAACACATTCAGAATATTTACTGAGCTTTTACCGTGTTTTGAGCGCAGTGCTGTTCTCTGGGATTAAAGAAGACATCCTTCCACTACTTACTGTCTCTTGTTACTGCTCTAGCCCAAGCTGCCATCATCTCTCACCTGGATTCCTGCACCAGCCTCCTAACTGGGCTCACTGCTGTTGCTTTTACCCCTCTCAAATAAATTCTCCACTCAAGGGTTACAGTTGATCCTTCAGAAACTTAAATTAGGTTACATCACTCCCTTGCTTGAAACCCTCCAGTGACTTCCCATTGCATTTAGAAAAGAAATCCAAAATTCTTACTCTTACTTAAAAAGCCCTGCAAAATCTAGCACCTGCCTTTTTTATCTTATCCCAGTCTCCATTCCACTACTTCTGTCATGCTGCCCTTTCTATTTTTTGAACACACCCTGTTCATTTCTGCTTTGTTACCAGAGGTACTGGGTGTTCTTTCTATCCAGAGTTCACTTTTCTGTGATCTTTGCATCACTGGCTCCCTCTTTTCTGTGGCATCTTTAAAGGCATAGACTTCTCTTTCATTTCAGCAGATATTGTTGAAAAAAATGACTGCCTGTCATGAAGTAGGCAGTGTGTCTGGTGCTGGGGGTACAACAGTGAACCAGAGAAACAAGGTCCCTGCTCTCAGGGAGCTTACATTCTACATGAGGTGGGAATGGGGAGAGTAGGAGGTTGGTTTGAAGAGAGAAAAAGACAAACAAGAACTATATCATGATAAGTTTAATATAGATAGTTTAAATAGAGTGCTGGAAGAGGGAGGGACCGGATGGGGTGGTTAGATTGGGTAGTAAAGGAAGGCATTGGTTAAGCCAAGGCATTTGTTGGACTTCATGTAAGAGATGGAAAACCTGTTCTGTCAGCATTACGTAGGCTATATAATAAAGAAGAGACCAGTTCGAGTCCAAGAAAAAGGAAAGAGCCTAAACAGTGGGATGGGAGACAAGGCTACAGATGGGATATTCAAATATACCGTGTATTAAAAATGTTTTGGGAGTTCAGATTTTATCATTATGTGTTTACTTTCATCTATCTTACAGAATTTGGTTGATCTTGCTGGCAGTGAAAGAGCTGCTCAGACAGGAGCTGAAGGTAATGAAAACTCATGATATGTTGGTCTTGATGTCAGCCTGTTCTTTTACAGGATGAAAAGTGCTACCAAGCATTTTAGAAACTGATAAAATAATACTAATAATTTTCTGATAAAAGTCTTTGCATAAAAATCAGAGTCTGTGTCTGGCTAATTATTTACTTTGAGTTACTGTAGCAGCAATTAAAAACTAAAACTATGCAATTGATAGGATTGTATAGCTGAGGAAAACCCATAAGAGTACCCTGAAAACTATCTAAACTTTCATAATCAGTATGGAAATTCAGAAAGGTAAACAAACCCACTGCTGCAAGTCGATTCTGACTCATAGTGACCCCATAGGGTTTCTGAGGCTATAAATCTCTATGGAAGCAGACTGCCACATCTTTCTCTTGTGGAGGCACTGGTGGTTCCAAATCGCTGACCTTTTGGTTAGCAGTTGATCGCTTTAACCACGGTCCCACCAATGAGGTGTAAAATTAATTTACAGACATTGATAGCTTTCATAAACAATGAGCTAAAATCTTTAGTGGACAAAAAGACTGCTTTCAAATTAATGGCTTAAAAGATGTAATACCTAGGAGGAAACTTGACAAAAATTGTGCACGACCTATGTAAAGAAAACTTGGAAACAGTCCTGAGGGACACAAACAAATACTGGAAGAAATGGAAAAGTATACCAAGGCCTTTGATGGGCAGATTCAAAATCATAAACATGTGAAACCTCTTTATGTTAATTTCTAAATTTAATACAATCCCAATTAAAAGATCAAGAGTACATTTTTGTATTGTTTAAACTAGTCAAGATGATTTTGAACTTCTGTGGAAAAATAACAAGACTAGCCAGGAAATTTCTGAAAAAGAACAGTGAGTAGAAATTTAGCCCTACAAGATAGTAAAACATAATTCCATAGTCATTAAAACAATGTGATTCTAATGCATGAATAGTCAGCCCAATGGAACAGAATAGAAAGTCCAGAAAGAATCCCAAATCCATACAGGATTTAGAATGTGTTAAAGGTGGTCCTTCAAATTTATGAGAAAAAGAGAGAATAAATTGGTATCCATTTGGAAAAAAAAATTAAGTTAGATCCATATCTTATATATGAAGGATTCATTATCAATAACCCAAAGATTTAAATGTCTGAAAAGAACCATGAAAGTTACTGAAACTGCCCCCTGAGGTCACCTTTTAGCTAAATAACAGATTGGCTCATAGAATAAAGAATATCACCCATGAGTACTGTGCTCCTTTAAAAAATCATCTATATGAGGCCAAGCCATCAACAATTACTATAAAGCAAAGATGAGAAGTAAGAAGGCAGGGAAACTAGATTCCTGGAAACAGAACACCCAGAACAGAAATGATGACAATGTGAACACATTGTGAAAAATGTAACCAATGTCACTGAACAATTTGTGTCGAAATCGTTAAGTTGGAACCTCATTTGCTGTGAACTTTCACCAAAAACACAATAAAATATTATTTAAAAAAAAAAAAAAGTTACTAAAAGACAACTTGCAGTGGGGAAGACCTTTATAACTATGACACAAAATCCAGAAGCTATAAAGGCTTGATACATTTGACCTCACTAAAATTAACTTCAGTATGACAAAGGTCACAAGGCAAAGGCACATGGCAAACAGGGAAAATATGCAGCTTATATTACAGCCAAGGGGTTAATCTCTTTAATGTATGATGAGTTCCTATATATTAATAAGAAAAAGACTTACAACCAATAGAAAATTGTAAAGCAGAGAGTCTGCCTGAATAGTTAAGCTCTCACTTGTGCTCTTGCCATCAATCACAAGAGTTACTGCTGCTCCAAGGAAGATGGGAGATTTGTGAAGCTGACCTAAACTCATCCTGCAACCTGAAATAGAGCCATCAGCTGAGCCTGACCAATATCCACCAAACCAGTGACCTGTGAACAGACCTGTAAACAAGATATAAATGCTTGTCATTTAAGCTGATTTGTTAGCAGTATTACAGCAATAGCTGAGTAATATACCTATGAAATAACATCTGTTCAAAATTATTTGTTGCAGTGTTTTTTTTTGTTTTGTTTTGTTTTTTTTTGGTATAATTGGTAGACTGAAAACCTACATGACCATCAAAAGGGGGCTGGGTAAATAAATTCTGAGACATCCATACAATGGATTTCTATACTATTAAAAAAGAATGTAAAAGGCCCATGTCTATTGATATGGAAATTTTTCCAAGATATATTATGAAGTGAAAAAAAGCAATGTGCAGAATAGTGTGCATAGAATGTTACTATTTGTGTAAAAAAGGAAGAGGGGAAATTAATGTATATTGGCTTGTATTTTTAAAATCACTGGAAGAATAAGCAAACTAATAACAGTGATTTCCTGGTGGAGGAACAGGAACTGATTGAATGGGGAGTAAAAGTGAGAGGGGGCTTTTCTAGACCGTACCTTTTTTTTTTTTTTTTTTTTTTTTTTTTTTTTTTGATGTTTGACCCATGTGAGCACATTAATGATTTAAAAAAAATTAAAAATTAGATACTAATTTGGTTATAAATCCATGGTTGCCTATATCTTACAGATTTGGGGGAAAAAAACTGATTTGAATTGAGGAGTTAGGCTCTTTTAAGAAATAGGCTTTTCTTCCCTCTTGTCATTCTTGTCATAGTCATTTTATTTTTGCCATTTCTCTCAGGTGATAACCTTTCTGATCTACTTAACAGGTGGGAGGAGTAGGGAGAGAGCTCCTTCCTACCAGTGATATTAAAAGCGGGCTCAGGTCCAATCGAAAGCATAGACATTAGCATCTGACCCTTTAATTTCTAATTTTTCTTATAACTTACTGATAAATAAGTTCATCATCTAGCACAGAGGTCAATTTTAATTTTAATATTTGTTTAATAAATTCAGGTGTGCGACTCAAGGAAGGCTGTAATATAAATCGAAGCTTATTTATTTTGGGGCAAGTGATCAAGAAACTTAGTGATGGGCAAGTTGGGTAAGTTTATCCCACTGTACATTTAACTGTCAATGCTTAAATTTTTTATACCTTCTCACTTATCGACTATCTCGTTATCCAACATTTCAAATTTTTGAAGATAGTGAAAAATCTACTATCTGACTATTTTGCATATTAACGACATATGTCAGGCAGTAACAAATGCCAAAGTGCTGGCTTTGACGGTTAAGGTTATGTGTCAGCTTGGCTGGGCCATGATTCTCAGTGGTTTGGCAGTTATATAATGGTGTGATTTGGCAGTTCTATAATGATGTAGTCATCCTCCACTTTGTGATCTGATGTGGTCATCCTCCATTTTCACATTACACCAATTTTGCATAACGACCTGGTTCTTGGAACGTAACCATGTCAGTAAGTGAGGAGAGGGTGTGTTTAGTTTTTGTTTTGGTTTTTGGTTTTTTTTTTTTAAATTAGGTTGAAAATTGTCATATTTCAGTGACACCCTAAATAAATGTACTGATTTCTTCCATATATTCAAAAGCACTTGTGATTCTGTGGGCACGTATGGCTTCTTATAACTATGACCTACTGAATTTACTTTCTATTTTGAATATTTTTTAGTTAGTAGTTTTGATCTGCCTCATGTAACCTATAAAGAATTAATTTTTTAAACTGTGACTGACTTAAGTGGTCTGCATTAAAAACCAACTGCTTTTATATAAAAATTCTTAACCTTTTTCTTCCCTAAACCCATTTCTTGCTAAGTGGCTTCATAAATTATCGAGATAGCAAATTAACACGAATTCTTCAGAATTCCTTGGGAGGAAATGCAAAAACACGTATTATCTGCACAATTACTCCAGTATCCTTTGATGAAACCCTTACTACTCTACAGGTGAGTTTGATTTTTATTTCATGTTAATATGGGGACGATCAACTTTAAGAAGAAAAAAGTACCTACTAAAATTAGGTTTAGTTTTCTCTTTTATGTTTTTTTTAATTAACATGCCTATTATAATAAAATTGGTGCGTGATCTACTAAATAGCATTCTTTATTTTAATTTTTCCAAGCTGCAGTCATTTGTATCTCACTTTCACAATTTTTACCACATCAAGTAAGGTTTTACCGAATTGACTTGATATTTTTTAAAATAACTCACTTTTTAACTTAATTTCTTTTAAAAGGAAATTTTATCTCTACCATAAATTAAATACTAGTATTACGTGCCACAAATAGGTGACCAAAAGAACGTGTGTGTGTGTGTGTGTGTGTGTGTGTGTGTGTAACAAAATAATTCTTAAATTCTTGTTAGTTAACTATTGCCTGCCAAAGGCTTTGAGCCTAAGGCCTGCATTTTGTTTGTTTGTTTTTAAAAAAGGATAAATGAGAAATGTTAATAGAATAACTCTTTCAACTAAGAATTCAATATTATTTAATGGTCACCTCCACGTACCCACTTAAAGTCACCTCTGATACTCATACTCTAAGAAACATTGCTTTAAAGGTCTTGAACATTGTATCAAGGTACTGTTAGAGATACAAAGATATAAAATGGAGTCCCTAGCTTCACAGAATTTAGAGTTTTACAGGGAAGGTAAGACCTCCCTTCAATATGATTTCCTGGGACTAATAGATTAGTGGCTTAAAAGTAGAATAGAGTTCAATGGAAGAGAAGAATACTTTTGGCTGGAAGCGAAACTTTAGAGGAAACATTATTATTAAATAAATTAGATATTTTTTTGTGTGTGTGTGTGTGTCAGACACTTAAGTCTCTTGTCTGTTTTTCCCAGTTTGCCAGCACTGCTAAATATATGAAGAATACTCCTTATGTTAATGAGGTATCAAGTGACGAAGCTCTCCTGAAAAGATACAGAAAAGAAATAATGGATCTTAAAAAACAATTAGAGGAGGTATGTATGAGCCATTAATTTCGGTAACGAATAGGGACAGATTTAGAATCGAGGTCTGCCACATGCTCAGAGACTCCTAATTTATAAATACCTGAGTTGCTACAACAAACTGTTTTCAACTCAAAAGAAATCAACTCAGTGGAGGAGGCATTTGCCCTGGACCTTGAGGCTCCTTTAATTTACTATAAACCAGATGATTTGGTTTCTTGTAATTATTTTACATTTTGTTTTTTATTTCTAAAGGCACGATTTGATATTTTCAGTGGGCTAAATAGAGATACATTTAAATTGCCTTCTAATCACAAAACATGGGATTAGGTTAAAAAGAGAGACCATGCATAATTAGTTAACATTATCTTTTGTATTTTCACATTATCTTGAATTCCTTTTCTAACCCAAAGATAACCCATTGCTGTCGAGTCGATTCTGACTCGTAGCAACCCTATAGGACAGAGTAGAACTGCCCCATAGGGTTTTCAAGGAGTACCTGGTGGATTCAATCTGCCACCTTTTGGTTAGCAGCCAAACTCTTAACACTATGCCACCAGGGTTTCCAACCCAAAGGTAGCAATCTAATAATATGGTATAATCACTTGTCATTCTAATTTGATTGTTTTAACCACTATGGTCCATATTTTGTAAAAACCTTACATTTTAGTCATCTTTTTAAAAACGAGCTAAAATATCAAATGGTAGTTTTATGAGAACATTTCTGAAAATATCAAATGGCAGTCTTATAAGATGAGAACATTTCTACATTTGCTATAGGTATTCAATCTCTGCTTATATGACTTTTCTGCCTATTTTTCGTATGTTCTTAATCAATTAAGAGTTAGAATTGCTTCAGCAGCATTGTTATAATCTAACAAAAAATTACATTCTATAGGTTTCTTTAGAGACTCGGGCCCAGGCAATGGAGAAAGACCAACTGGCCCAACTTTTGGAAGAAAAAGACTTGCTTCAAAAAGTACAGATTGAGAAAATTCAGAATTTAACACAGATGCTGGTGACCTCTTCTTCCCTCACATCACAACAGGAATTAAAGGTAAAATATAAAAGATAACAGCTTAAACTTGGTATACAGAGAATAGAATTGTTATTTCCATATGTTTACTATAATTACGTTTCTTATCTTTCGGTGCAGTATATTCAAGAAGCCCAGAGCATTTTGTGTGTTTGCCTGTACATCAAAAATACCTAAGAGATTTCTTAGAAATATCAATCCCTGGTTCCCACATGTAGGGATTCTAATTCAGAAGGTCTGTATAGTAACTAAAACATCTATTTGCAACCTGCTTCTTAAGAAATTCTAATGGAACTGATTGGGAACCACAGGTCTCTAGGGTATCCTCAAATATTTTTCTTTTTAAAGAAACAGAAATCTGAATCTCAAGAAAATTGATCTAGAATATACATCAACTGAGTGATCAAAATTCTAGCTTTCAGTTTGTGGCTTTTTGCTTTGTTTTGTTATTGTTCTTTACTAGAGTAGGGGTTTATTTATCCAGCAGATTTTTTTTAGTATAATGTTGTCATGTTAAGAGGATGGCCTCTGGAGCTGGACTGCCTGGAGTTGAATCCTGTTCTGTCACTTCCTAGCTCTTGACCTCAGGCAATTTCTTAAATACACTTTGTTGTAGTTTCCTTCTCTGTAAAATGGGGATACCTCAATACTCCTCTACTAGGGTCATTCTGAGAATTAAAGGAGGTCATACATATAATGTGCTTAACACTGCACTTTGCACACAGTAAATACTAATATTAGTAGGTATTATTACAAGTCAGGAGTCCCTGGGTGGCACAGATGGTTAAGCACTAGACTACTATCCAAAAGTTTGGTGGTTCAAACCCACGCAGAGGTGACTTGGAAGTAAGGAAGGCCTGGCAGTCTGCCTTTGAAAGGTCACAGCCTTGAAAATCCTGTCGAGTACAATTCTACTCTGCACATATGGGATCTCTATGTGTTTGAATCAACTTGATGGCAACTAACAACAAGATGTACAAGTCACCATACTAGATATATAGAAGACACTCAAAAACTGTTTATTGACTGAGTGGCAAGTAGAAAATAGCTCAATGAAAGGTATAGAGAAGTGTTTCAGGAAGAGGCCTACATGTACGAAGACTTGGAATAGTGAGAAAACACGATACATTCCTTGGACTGGAAACATTCTGTAGCAGGAGCATAGAGTACAGGGGCATTTTAAATCACATTAAGGGATTTGAACATTATATTATGCTAAGGACAAAGGAAAACTATTTGAGGGTTTTACGTGGTACGTAACATAATCAGAACTGCATTTTAGAAAGATGTGCCTGCTGTGTATATCAGGAATGATTGGACCACTACAAAGATTGTGGCTCTGGAGGTGAAGAGAATTGAATAATTGTAGAAATATTTTAGGGGTAGACTCAACAGAACTTTGTGATTATTTAGATGTGGGAGTAGGGAAAGAGAGAAGGGGGTGTCCAGAGTGACTTACAGGTGTTGCTTGGCTTGCTGGTTAGCTGATAGTGGTATTGACTGAGTTAAGGAACACTGAAGAGCAGTGGAGCTGCTCACATCTTCTACTTGGGACATGTTCAGTTTGCAGTGTCTGTTAGGCAGTTGAAAATATGAATGTATGAAAATCACATGGAAGATCTGAGATGGAGACACCAATTTGAGCATCGACCATGTACTACAGATTCAAATTAAAACCATGGGAATGAGTGAACTTACTGTAGGAGCACGTTGAGGGAAAAAAAAGAACAGAGGGCCAAAGACAGAACCTCGAGAGGCAACATTTTTTTCAGATAAAGGCAAAAAATGAAGAATCCATAAAGGAAGTCAGGGTTAGCTCTAGAGTTTAGGAGGAAAACCAGGTGAAAGTAGTCGCAAAGGAAAGAGAATACTTGGTAGTGGTATTGGTGTCACATTTTAATAAGAGGTTGAATAAGATAAAAATAGGTAAAAATCCTTTGGATTTAAAAACCAGAAGCTCATTTGCAAAAACAACTTGAGTTATATGGTGGGCGGGAGGCGAAAGCTACATTACAGTGGGTTGAGACTGCCCCAAGGGAAGTGATAACTGAACAAAGTAGAAGGAGCTGGCCTGAGATACAAGGAGAAAAATCTCTTTATTATAATAAGAACAGAGAAAGAGGTAGGCATCAGTGCAAGTAATACACTTTTATAAGTTTAGGCTTGTGTTTTCTTTGTAAAAAAGGTTTAAGTTTTCTGCTGTGGTGGCAGAAGATAGTCAAGTCAGAAGTTTGCAAAGATGCTGAGGGTTTGATATAGCCTAGTCTCTAGACAGTGGAAAGGAAAGCTGACAAGAGGAGTATCGCCAGGCAGTGTTGAGGACTGGACTGATGCTGGCAGCCAGTCTTCATGGTTGTGTGGCTCTGGCGGGTCTCAGGGAGCTGATAAAGGTACAGAAACAGCAGTGTAATTCATCTGAGCATATGATGTGTGGGGTAAGTGTGAGGGACAGAGAATGGGTCAGATAAGTTGAGGATATTGACTCAAAAGGGTGATTGAAGTGGTGATCTATGTAATCTAAGGTGATGGGATAAGACCCAAGAGGGAGCTGGCAGGAAGAAGTTAGTGGGACAAAGGAATAGAAGTCCCTGTTAAGTTAAATAGGTATAGTGGGTTAACTAAATAAAGGTGTTGGAAGGATAGCAATTGTAGTAACAATAGGAGGTCTAGGTTAATGAGTTTCAGATAATGCAAAGTTTCAGGTGTGGCTTTGGGAGTGGATGGCTAAGGCGGAGTTGAGCCGAAGTCTGTTGGGGTCAAAGATTTATATATGACTGGGCTTTTGCTGAACAGGCAGTGGAAAGGGCTGGTCATGTCAGGCAGAAAGGCAGCACATGGAGAGGCATGAAATCATGAGGTATATTCTGGGGACAACAGGCAATCTTGAGAGAGGCAGTGTGGTGGAATGGTCTCTTGGACAAATTGGAGTTACAGACATGGGTTTGGTTACCAGTTGGCTGTATCACCTCACACAACTTCTCCAAACTTTTTGGTCACCCAGCTCCTCTGCGAAAATGATATAGTAATAGATCTCATAGAGTGTTGAGAGGATCACATAAGATAATACCTGTACCTAGCAGAGGGACAAGAAAAGATTGGTGGTTGTGAAACCTGGAAAACCACAAACACTTAAGTAGGCAGAGGAAGAAGAAATCAGCAAGTCAGAGTGACTGATGAGGACAGCTAGGTGGGTACGATAAAACTAGGAGACAGAGGTGTCCCCCAAGAGATGAGGAAGTAGTGAATAGACCATGAGAAAGAAAGAAAATGGTAGCTAAAGGGAAGAAGGAGTCAAGTGTTTGTTTAAAAAAGAAAAAAAACAAAAGCAATCAAGCAGAGAAACTTGAGCATTTGTAAAGCTGAGAGATGACAGAGGAGAGAACAGATAGTTGAGGGAGCAAGGTCCCGAGAGAAAGGAAGGAACAAGATCATGAGCATTGATGGAGGCATGAGCTTTACCAAATTAGAGCAGAATAACCAGTGTGAGGGACCCTGAAAGAGACTTACTTGGTAAAGGAGATTCAGATGGACTCCCTGTGCCATTGCCTCCCACACCCAGAATACTTTTGGCAGGTGTGGTAATGGCAACAGCTGTCCCTTCTGTATAACACAGGATTATTTGAAGGACTGTAAGTCAAATTTTCAAATAAAACGCAAAATTTAAACAGTAGTTCCATCAAAGTTATCATGGAGTTAAACACTCATTTTAAAAGTATATTCCCTTGTCTCAGAGTGTCCTTAGATGAGTAAGGTGTTGTTATTGTTAGTTGTTGTTGAGTCAGTCCCAACTCATGACGACCCGATGTGTGCAGAGTAGCACTGCTCCATAGGCTTTTCAAGGCTTTGACCTTTCTGAAGCAAGTCACCACGCCTGTCTTCTGAGGCACCTCTGGGTGGATTCGAGCTGCCAACCTTTCGGCTAATAGTCAAGCACTTAATCATTTGCGCCACCCAGGGACTCCTAGACTTAATAACAATACTACCTAGTCAATGGTTCTTAAAAATAGAAACTAGTTCTCTTGTATTATTATGTTTAAGACCTGATCGTTTGTCAGATTTTTTTTTTTTTTTTTTCGTTTTTCCCTCTATAGGCTAAAAAAAAGCGAAGAGTTACTTGGTGCCTCGGCAAAATCAACAAAATGAAAGACTCAAACTATGTAAATGAATTCAATACGACAACAAATATAACAACAAAAACACACAAGACTACTGTAACTTTACTAGGAGAAATTGATGACTGTGAGTGCTTTTTCAGTGGAACTACTTTTAATTATAAAAGAATCCCTATAAAGAGAGACTGTATTTATAAAACTCCATTAATGATATTTTAGATGTGATTATAATGGAGATTATGATACAAATATGTAATTTTAAGAAAGTAAATATTTGGAAAGTTTCTTATTATTTCTGTATCTCTTAAGGACATATTGTAGTTGAAACATAAGACATATTTTTTGTTGTTGTTGTTCAAACCATTACCCAATTAAATTAGAATCCGTATAACATCCACTTAAACTGTGCTGATCTTGAAATGGTGACATTTACACAGGAATCTGTTTCAAAATTTTGTCTCTAATATTATAATCTATCATCTAGGGACATTTTAAAATTTATTTACAAATTTTGTCAAAGGTATCAAATTGAGATTTTTGTCCTTTACCTGTAAGTATTAAGGATCCTATATTTATCATTAATCCCAACCAGTGATCTTAATTAACACAATAATGTAAATGATGCATCTATTATAAATATTAATTTCTGCATTCATATTCTGAGCACATATTATCTAATTTGAATGTCTTATTTCCTCTGATCAGAGTATTGTTTAGTAATTTGACATCAGTAAACTTTGTAGGAGTGTTTATGGATAAATGTCTTTTTTCCCCTGATTATAGCTCTTTGTTCAGAGGCTGATGTTTTCAGTAACACTCTTGATACAATAACTGAGACAGAGTGGAATCCAGCAACAAAGCTACTAAGTCAGGTAACTTAATTTATTTTATAGAACATTATCTTTTTACTCCTTTTAAAACTCATTTGTTATTGGAGTTCACTGTTGTAGTACGTTACTAGCTGTGACTTAATTTAGAAGCAGTATTGGTTGTAGTTAAGGCTTCTCTACTCTTTACACACCTAGATGATAACTGAGTGACATCCAGAGGGAGGAAAAAAATTTCAAAAAGCAAGCATATGTCAATAGGTTAAGCTGTGCTTCTAGTTCTTTACCAGCAGATCTTAGTATTCTAATCCGATGTTTTTAAAATTTCTGTTTTGGCTTGGGCAATCCTAGAAGAGAGAAAAGACTAGTTTTAAAAGTGACAGAATTCTCAGTCATACAGTGGAAGAATTATGTATCAGGGAGGGATAATATTGCTAAATAATATTGAAAATAAAGGCAGATGTATTATATGTGGTCTTATCCAAACTGTTTAAGAAATAAGGAATATTGAATGGGAATACTTCAGTAAGTTTAGATTCTATAATCACTTTATAAGCTATTAATGTTCAAAGACATATTGTAATTTTATATTTATTAAAATTTCATTTTAATTTTAGGTAAAATTGCAGTACTTTTTGGTAATTATTATTAACATTGGTCCATCTCTATGAAGTATTATAGACAAATGCTTTTGTGTCCTTAAAACATATTCTAGAAGTCTGTTTTAAGACATGCTCTAGTAATTTTTTGTTGTTTTAAATTCCTAGTATTAGCTTTTTTTGTTTTAACCCATAGTTTCTCTTTCTCATAATAGCATACAAAGTAGAAACAGGCCTCTTTGAATGTGGTAAAACAAAGCAGCCATTAGAGTTTTAGAGGCCAGTAAGTAATACTTGTTTCCCTTCCTTAATTCAGAGTCATCTGAGAAATAAAACAGGTGGACTGATGGGAAATTAAATTATCAGCTTTGTTACAGTTCACACTAACCAGCAAAAGGGATCTTAAGGATTTGTGCCAAATGGGATCCAATATGTGCCTACATTTCCCAGGCAGAGCATTTGTTTACGTGATTTTTTTTTTTTTAATTCTAAATTTGCTAGTTTACCAAAATGTAAACTCTTCGTTTTCCTCTCTGGATCAAACAAGACCATCAGAAAGCTATTGAAGAAGAGAGTGGCCTAAGCCACCAAGTGATTCAACATTTAATTAATTATTTGACTAATCTAAATTTTAATTAGGAAACAAAGAATACCTGTTGTCATTGAGTCGATTCCAGTTCTTAGCAACCCTCTAAGACAGAGTTGAACTGCCCCACGGGGTTTCCAAGGAGTGGCTGGTGGATTCCAACTGCCGACCTTTTGGTTAACAGCCGTAGCTCTTTACCACTACTCTACCACTTTGGATCAAACTAGACCATTAGAAAACTATTGAAGAAGAGAATGGCCTAAACCACCAAATGTTTCAACATTAAATTATTTGAATAATCTAAATTTTAGTTAAGAGAACAAAGAATATATTACTTGAATTCCCTCTGATTCGAAAGTCTTGTTTTGTTTATAATAGGAAACCTTAGAAAGTGAGTTGAACTCACTTCGTGCTAACTATGATAGTCTGGTATTAGACTATGAACAACTAAGGAGAGACAACGAAGAAATGGAATTGAGATTAAAAGAAAAGAATGATTTGGATGAATTCGAGGCTCTAGAAAGAAAAACTAAAAAAGATCAAGAGGTAAGAGGTGTGGAAATGTTAAACTAAACTAAAACCCCACTTGGAAAAGAAAATCATTCCTATAAGGGTATATATTTCTAAGAATAAGATATTGAGGACCCAACCATTTTTCATACGTACATAGAATTTACAGATTCTGATAAATATTAAATTTACTTTATTTTTAAAAGAAAAATAGTTAAATTATAATTGTTTCACTTGTGCTCATGCTCAGGAGAAGGAGGAATTAAAAACTTCTTTGGGAAAGTTTGGTGAATCTGCCTATTGATGGATTTGTCTTAAGGAAGTTGTTTCCTTATGTTAGTGTATCATTACTGTTTAATTTATTGAGCATACTAGAAATGCTGCCTAGAGCATAACCCTTTCCTACTGAGACCAATATGAATTTTCATATCTAGCTGAATATTTTATGTATGGATGCTACATATTAATAGATTTGTTTTCTTTTGACAATCATAAATAGAACATTATTAGAATAGCTGGGAGAGCTGATTTTTCAAATTTTGCTTTTCTTTTTCCATATGAGAGAGTTATTGTGAAAATTAATATAACCAATAGTAAATAGTTTCAATGGAATTTTTTAAACAATGTTAAATTTTCTAAGTTTATAATATTAGGTATGTGTTAAAAGAACTCAATCCACAAATCATCAAACTTTGGGAACTTAGAAATTGTCCAAAATATTTAAGGGATTATTTAGTGCAGGGTGTCCTAACCTAGAGTCCACAGACACTATGAAATTATATTGCAGAATTTTTGAGTGCATATTCATTTTTCTGGAACAAGAGTCTGTAGCTGTTATCAGACTTGCAAAGTGATCCATGAAACCCCCCGCCCCACCGTCAGATGAGAGCCAGTGTTTTGGTACAGCTCATTAAAATAGGAGTTACCTGGCACCTACTCTTCAGACTTCTGTATGCATAGCCCAAAGGGACATGATCCCTTTTCCCAGTATCATTGTTTAATTTCTCACCCTCTTTCTTTTTAAAAGGAAAAAAGGATTCTGTGCCAAAGCTATTATTTCCATTCTACCCACAAAGTAAAGTTATTCCTACATTTCATAGGTATATCCAGAGACAAGCATCCATAAGTTCTCTGTAGGGTCTCATTTCACTTGTTTTAAAATGTGCATATTAGCAAAATGCCATGAAAAGAATAGTGGACTTGTAATTGATATAACTGGGCAATAGTTTTTCTTTCTTTACATCATTAATATATTCACTTAGTTTTAAAAATTGAAGCTCACTGAATTGAATCAGCAGATAGAAAGATTACAAGATATCACAGAATATATAATTTGTATCTCATATCCAGGTTTTTCTTCCTTCTTAACCATAGTCAAGAGGAAAAATAACTCTGTTCCTTTCATTTTTTCATTGGACATAAGTTTAGATTCTAGATTCTTTAAGGTAACCTAAAAGATTATGTAATGAAATTTTACCCTATTTAAAGACAGTTTTATGGTATCCATTCAGTGTTAAACAAAAAATATGTCTGTTTATATGCAGTGAAATAAGTTCCAAAATCTACATTTTGGAGAAAAGTTTAACCAAAAGTGAGTAAAAGTTAAATTATGGCCCTAGGACATGTGGTCATTGCGCTAGGTTTTGTCAAAAATCACCAAAGATGTGGATAGTTTTTAAGTGGAATGTAGTAATATAGGATGCTTAAATAATAATTTTAGAGGGAGAAATAAACAAGGGCAAGTGTCATCATGCTCCAGCAACAAGAGAAATCTTAACCATCTACCTATTTTAACTTAATTTTTTAATTCTACAATTTGCACAACTTGGAGTTTTTTCTCTTATGAAATTAAATATTAACTTCACCTGCCAAATATTACAGTTGAAATCTGCAGTATTTTCTTTTCTAGCAGTGGATTGATTAACTGTTGCTCAGACTGAATGTTTAAATCATTTTTGCTTTGAGCACATTTTCTGTTTGTGTTCCCTACCTTTGTGTCTTAAACAGTATATCACTGGGAGCTTACACTTTGACCTTTTCAAATACTACTTAATCTCTTTCTCTGAGAATCATTTCTTAAGATGAAGTGCTATTTAAGATAAGAAGCAGGAGAATTTTTCTTCTTTCTAAATGTTTTCTAAATATTTTCAAAAATTAAGACTAATTATTTAGTTCTCCCTTATTGGTAAATGTGATTTTCTTGCACAAAAGTGAGAAATTCGCAAGGAAGAATAGGTAAAAGATGGAGGCAATTGAAATTATAACCAATACTCATGTCTAAACTGTGCTGTACAACAGGATAGCCACAGGTGGCAATTGAGCACTTGAAATGAGGCTAGTCGGAATTGACTTAAGTATAAAAAGGGAATGTAAAATATCTCATTAGAATATTTTTGTATTAACTACGTGGAGAAATGATAATATATCAAAACGTATTTTTGATATATTAGGCTAAATAAAATGTATTATTAAAACTAATTTTACCTGTTCCATTTTAGTTTTTTTAATGTGGCCACTAGAAAATCTTAAATTACAATATGTGGGTCACATATTTTTATTGGACAGTGCTGGCCCAAAGTAATGTCAGCATAGCAGCAGTCTGAAATCAAAAACTAGTGAGGACTGAATTCAGCATCCAGAAAATACTATTTAAACAAGATACTATTTTCTTAAGACCTTTACTTACATCCTGTTTAGAATTTGCTTCTATACTTTAAGTGCTCATCTGATTATGAAGATTAAATAATTCTAAGGGAAAATATATTTATCATTGGCAAATTATGGTTTACTTGTTTTGGGCACAAAAGTTTCTGGTACTCAAATATTTAATGCTACAGATATTTTGATAGAAAGGAAACTTTAATAGAAAATATTGATATCTTTAAGTATTCTTTACCCTTTAAGACAGTTGAACAGTATAAAGCAATAGCATCATCTTTCCAATATTTCCTGTAGAATAAACCAATGAGATATTAGTTGATTATCTTGTACTTCTGTAGCTTTGGTGAAACAGTAATAACGTTGTAAAGTCACCACATGACATTACCCTAAGCCAAACCTAGATTACAAATCGCAACTTATTAAAAGGTATGTCAGTGTAGAGCCAGATGGATAACTTAGGGGACAAAAAAGAATCTTACAAGATAAATAAATTTCTACACTTGATTATAAGCGTATTTTTAAGTTTTATAACCATTTAACTCTCTTCTAAACTAATTTGCTGTTGACATTATCGCAGCCCTATTAACAGATGACATTAACTATTATTTGGGTCGTGGTGAAATTTTTTTATTGTTTGCATGTTTTTTTTTTAATTTTTAAATAATGAGGTTCTTTGTTGTGATAGCTTGAACAATTGCTCTCTCAGCCCTTCTAACTGTGTTGGGTGACTCTGAGGCAGTGAATGATTGCTATCTTTTTTTTTTTTTTTGCTTTATTAACTGTTGGTTTGCTCTGTTGCCTATCCACATGCTCTTGCAGATGCAACTAATTCATGAAATTTCCAACTTAAAGAATTTAGTTAAGCATGCAGAAGTATATAATCAAGATCTTGAGGTGAGCATTTATGGTGGTATTTCTTTTGCTAAGTAACTGGAACTACAAAACATACTTCATATGTAATGGAATATGATTTCAGAAAATAGTAGGAATTCTTCTTTTAAAATATTAATAACTTTTTAAAATTTTACTATCTACCAATTTAAACAATTAAATGTAAGTTCTTTTTTATTCCCTTATAATTCAAATCGGATACCTAAATTATATGTCACTCTTCTTTGAATCTTTTAGAATGAACTAAGTTCAAAAGTAGAGCTGCTTAGAGAAAAAGAAGACCAGATTAAGGAGCTACAGAAATACATAGACTCACAGAAGTTGGAAAATATAAAAATGAACTTGTCATACTCAGCGGTAAAAATTAGGTTTATTTTGTTGTGTGATCTTGTTGACATTTACAGTATACCACATCGTCCTAGCAAATGCTGATATTGGGCCTACTACGTGCCAGTCATTGTTCTAACCACTTTACATAAAGTATGTCATTTAATCCTGTGAATAATCCTGTGAGAGAGGGACTAGTAGTATCATTGCCATTTTCCAGATGAGGAAACATACATGGAGAGTAGAGGTTATCGTTCTTTGATTGCATGGAAGAAAGTTAGGGACCAACTTATATTAAAAATCAGTAATTCAAAAAATTTTAAATTTTTTTCAAATCTTTTTAAATCTTTTTACACAAATGATATATTAATGCATTCTCATTATAATTTAAATAACTTTTAACAAATTCAGAGAGTATTTCAGAAACTTTTAACTGTAGATGTTTTAATTAGATAAGATCTTGGCATTAAGTAGCATTGAATCTCATGATGAAATTGTTAATCTCTTTTCAGTTTACTTGCAATACACCTGATTATTATAAGAAAGCATCAGTTTGATTCTAGTTTTTAACCCCTTTTAAGATGTAACAGTTTCTAAATATTTCATATTTTTTAAAATACGTCTTTATGTTGTCATTCTTTGGTTTTCATTTGAGTTTTTCCAAGCAATTATTGTTACCTTCTATTTATGGTCAATGATTCTTTTAAAAAGGAATCACACTGTTTCACATCACACTATTCTGAGAGTCCAAGAAGAAAGAAACTTTCATGCATTCCTGGAGTGCCCATTGATAGAATGGCAGGCAGAATTGTTCACTTTTTTAAAGTTGTTGTTTGTTTCTTCTTCCTTATTCATTTAACTCTGTATTCATTCATTCATGTATTAATTTTTTGCCAAGAACGTATGATTGAATTCATGTAAGCTAAAGTCTTAATATGCCGCTTCTCTCTAAAAATGAGGTTGTGGATTTTTTTCATCTGTTTATCCACTATTTGCATTTTCTCTTTTGTGAGTTACCTGTTTATATCTTTTCTCTGTTTTTCTGTTAGATTATTTGCCTTTTTCTTTTCAATTTATGGTTTAATATCCTTAATGTTGTTGTTGTTAGGTGCCATCGAGTCAATTTTGACTCACAGCAACCCTATGTCAGAGAGTAGGACTGCCCCATAGGGTTTTCTAGGCTGTAATCTTTACGGGAGCAGATCACCAGGTCTCTCTCCCAAGAAGTGGCTGGATGGGTTCTACCCACCAACCTTTCAATTTGTAGCTGAGCACTTAACCGTTGCACCATCCAAACCAAAACCAAACCCGTTGCCATCAAGTCAGTTCCGACTCATAGTGACCCTATAGGACAAAGTAGAACTGCCCCATTGGGTTTCCAAGGAGCGGCTGGTGGATTCGAATTGCTGACCTTTGTTAGCAGCCATAATATTAACTATTAAGTTATTTGCCTGTCAAATGTTATAGAGAGTAACTTGAAATAGAAATACACAGGGTATTTAAACAGCCTAGCTGAACAATTATGTTAACCTTTTATTAAACAATAACTGATTTCTTAGATTATGACACTTCCATACATTGCTTTTATAATTTGGAAAAATATGGCCAGAATTTTTAAGAAATTTTTATTTTGAAAAACACAATTTCATAAAAATACATATGATAATTAGGGTAATTTTACCCTTTTTGTTTAGTTAGGAGTGTTCTCTAAAGTCTTTTCTAACTCTAAGAAAATAAGAATTCACTGAATCCCTTTTGTCTTGTATGTATTACCCTGTTTCTTTAGGAAGACACTGAAGACCTTAAACAAATGAAACAGACTCTGTTGGATGCTGAAACTGTAACCCTGGATGCAAAGAGAGAATCAGCCTTTCTTAGAAGTGAAAATCTAGAGCTGAAAGAGAAAATGGTAAATAATTTTTATATTTATAGTAAAGCAGTCTTAATGAAAAGTATTTTTTTGTGAATTTGTGGTGTTTCTCTCAATAGAAAGAACACGAAAATGCATGCAAGCAAATGGAAAATGACATTTGGGTATTTCAAAGCCAATTGGAGGCAAAAAAGAAAATGCAAGCTGATCTAGAGAAAGAGTTACAGTCTGCTTTTAATGAAATAACAGAACTGAGCTCCCTTGTAGATGGCAGAGTTTCAAAAGGTATTTTATAATTTCAGATTTATCTCTTTGCTAATCTGATGTGCTCTAGAAATGTGCCTAAATAATACGACAACTATATTTCAATGATTAAAAATCTTTTATGCTCTGATTTTTTTTTAATAGCTTAATATCATGTTTCAGCATCTTTTGGTATCAATATTTATCCATCAGCTTCAAAAGTTTAAAAATTGCTTTTCAAATAATTTGGGCCCAATCTAATAAAAAGATTATCTGTTTGCCAACATTGACTCTTTCTTTAAAAAGTCTGATGTAATTGAATTTAAATAATCTAACTTTGTGTTTAACTTAAACTATCCCAATTACTATAAGCTGTTTTATTTAATTTACCAAAACTTTCTAGATTTGCTCTGTAACTTAGAATTGGAAAGAAGGATTACTGATCTCCAGAAAGAACTGAATAAAGAAATTGAGGAAAATGCAGCATTGCGTAAAGAAGTTAATTTGCTCTCAGAATTGAAATCTTTATCCCCTGAAGTAGAAATACTGAGGAAAGAGGTAAATATATTTTTAAGCAATTAACCTTCTTTTGAAATAAAAACCTTGCAATACTGCCTTAAATATTTTAACATGGTTTATTTTATACCAGGTAAAAAATACTGTAAACATTTGAGTCTTATCATGTTAGCAATAATTTGTTCTTAATGCTACTGGGTAAAAAATAAATGAATAAACTTTCAAAGTATATTTAACAGTGTACTTGGTAATGTAATCCATATAGCAGCCATTTCTCTAGTCCTCAAATGTTGCATTTAAACAAAGGTCTATGGGCCGTCCTCAGTCTTTGCCTTTCTGTTGTTGTTTGGTTTGGTTGGTTGGTTGGTTGTTTTTTGTACTAGTCATATCAGTAAAAGAGAGGAATGAGGTGAAGGGGGTGGCAGTGATGAAGTTTTAGAGGTCCATGTAAATCTTGCAGACTGGTGAACAATTTTATAAACCCACGGCCTGGTTTAATCATACTATTAACTCTTTAAAGTAGGTGCTGTTTTTTTTTTAGCCCCAACAAATAGTTATGAAATTAATAAGCATCCAAACTAGGGTTTGAATGCAGATCTGCCTCCTAAGCCCGTGCTTATAACAACTGTTGTAGTATCCCTCTTTCTTTTGGTGTCTCCTTTTCTCTCCCCTCCTTTTCTTACCTCCTTTTACCCTCATCCCTCACAGTGATTAAACTGTTTATAAGAAGATATAAAGTATTCATTTAAATGTTTAAATAATATTTAATTGTTTTAACTTATTTGTGGATTAAATTTTTGGCAATCTGAGCTGCATTCAAAGCCTCTAGGAAGAAAAGTTAAATATAAGTCAAGTTCTGAGAAAAACCACAAAATGCTTGCCATACCATAAAGTTAGAAAATACTTTAAAGTGTTAGATAGGGAAATGAAGAGACATCCTGGTAGTGTTTCTACTAAGAGTCCTTCTCCATTTAATCCTTATTAGAACCCAAAAGAGATTAGAAAATAACTTTTAAGGTGAAGTTGAACAGATAAATACATTTAGTTATAGAAACGTGACATTAAGAATATTGCCTTTCTTCAGTCAGATCTTTGCTTAATTTAAACACCTTTTTTTTTTTTTTTTGACAGATAAGGCTTTTTTTTGTTCCTGTAAACTGCTTCCATGGATCATACATTGCTAACATTCCTAAATCATAATTTCTTTTTCATAGGTACATGATAAATCTGAAGAGCTCAATCTAATAACATCAGAAAAAGACAAACTTTTTTCTGAAGTAGCAGATAAGGAGAGTAGAATTCAAGGTTTGCTTGTAGAAATTGGGAAAACTAAAGATGACCTAGCAACTACCCAGCTGAATTATAAAAGCGTTGATCAAGAATTCCAAGATTTTAAAAACCATCATATGGACTTTGAGAAAAAGTATAAGATGGCCCTTGAGGAGAATGCAAGAATGAATCAGGAATTAGGAACTCTCTCTAAAGAAGCTCAAGAACTTGGTTTAAGTTTGGATGATGTGAAGATAGAGGTTCGTACAAAATCCTTTTTGGGGAAATGATCTTTATCTGCTGGGGTTTGACCTTCATATACATGTTATAGAATGCTTTGCTTTTACTATATTACATTTACTTTTTTTTAATTTTAAAGCTTTCTCACAAAACCCAAGAACTTCAGCAGAAAACAGTTGAGGGTAAAGAAATGTTAAATGCAATGGAACAGCTGAAGGAAGAATTAGAAAACACAGATTCTAGGCTACAAACTGTAGAAAAGGAGAAAACACTGATTACTGAGAAACTTCAGCAAACCTTAGAAGAAGTAAGAACCATAACCCAAGAAAAAGATGACCTAAAACAACTCCAAGAGAGCCTGCAGATTGAGAGAGATCAACTCAAATGTGATATTCAGGACACTGTAAACATGGTAAGAAAATTTGGATTGACTAAACTTAGAAAACTTGGAGCCACTTTAAAAAATTACGAGAGCCATCGTTAAGTATTTATGATTAAGTAGAACTATAAAATTGTTTTCCTTGTTCCACATTCTAATGAAATTTTTTTTATATTTCTTTGACAAAGAACATAGACACACAAGAACAATTAAGAAATGCTCTTGAGTCTTTGAAACAACACCAAGAAACAATTAACACACTAAAAATGAAAATTCCTGAAGGAACTTCCAGGAGTTTGCATATAGAGGAAAACATAGAAGAAACTATGGATGAAATTCAGGAAAAGGTAAAGGATGTTTGTTTTTTAAGTTTTTATGTACTTGTATGTGATTGTTATCCTTTTTTTAGCCTCAAACACTTAAGTACATAATGGTAATCTCGATCTTTAAATATTCACAGCGTTAATAGCTAGTAGTAATTTTACAAGCTTAGCTCTGATCTCTTTGAAATAACTCAGTGTAACAGCTTGTAATCAATTTTAAAAGCAAAAGCAAAAAAGTATTAGTTCAAACTTTGAAGAGCTGGTATTTTCTGAGGCCTGATATATTTTAAATATCATTAAAAGCCCCACTAAATTGTAAGATACTAGGAAAGATTGAGTGTTTATTATTAATTATGGCTAAAATACTTGTTTTATGTCAGATTTTCTATAGTATACTTGTTTAGAGTTCACTATAAAATCGATGTGTATATTGTATTTATGTTTATTTTTAGGGCTTAATCCATCATTTTACTCTTAGATGACTAAATATTACCTTAATAATTCATTCTAGGTAGTACAGTTCATTTCTTTCTGAGACCTTAGGAGAATAACTGCTTAACTGGGTTATTTAGTTACATACAGAAAGGCTAGGATGCTAATGATGCTTTTTTGAAAAGGAGAGGGGAGGATTGTGTATAATTTTACCATGGATTCATTTATTATACCTTTCTAGTTTTCGGAGATACCTTTAAAATACATTGTCAACAGAGATTTTAAAACTTTGTGATTAGTGAGCTTATTCTCATATAAAGGACAAAATCTTTTTCTTTATTTAATAACTAGACCTATTAGTTTTGACTCATAACCATGGTAGCTGAAATACTTTCTAGGTTTAGTTAAGATTTGAAATGGACCTTGGGTATCAGTAGAAAGGACATTGTCTCAATCTGCTTTGTCTTTATGTACACTGCTGTTTTTAGGAGTGAACGTGCAAGATTGTGAAATATGATATCTGATAGACTAGTCCTAAAAGACTGTTCTTCACCTTAATTTCTCGTATAGTTAGCCCTGTACTCACCACTGTCAGATGCTCATGCAAATTGCCAACAGTAAGTGGGTACTAAGTATGGTTTATTCATATCCATTCTAGAGAATTGGGCAGCTACTAAAAATTATGATTTGAAGACTACATAACAGCATGGGGAAAATGCATATAATCGAAGTGGACAAGACTAGCTAAAAGAATCATGTAAATTAATTGTATTATCTATGTTAAATTTTTTGCTCATTTAATAGAAAAAGCTCTGAAAGGAAATTCTGTTAGTGGTTGTGTGAGGTTGCTGACACTGAATGATTTTTTTTCCTTCTATTTTCCAAAGCATTTACTAATGCGATCATATTGTTGATGTGTGCCATTGAATCAATTCTGACTCATAGCGACTCCATGTGACAGCAGAACTACCCCATAGGGTTTTCTTGGCTGTAATCTTTACAGAAACGGATCACTAGGTCTTTCTCCCGTGGAGCAGCTGGGTGGGTTCAGACCGCCAGCCTTTCTGTTAGCAACCAAAAGCTTAACTGTTGAGCCACCAGGGCTCCTTAATGTGGTCATAGATTATTATAAAAAACTTTTTAAAATATGTATGGCCAATAAGGAGCCGAATGTGTTTACCGGGCTAGCGTAAGGTTATATAGTGACGCCCTAATTTTGTACCAACAATTATAGTATCGATCTTTGTCTCCCTTTACCAATAAGTCCGTATGTTAGGCTGCTTGTGGGTAAGACATTTATAGATAAATGAATTTATACTAATATGCTTTTCTTAAGCAGTATGTGAAAAAACGTATATTGATGAATTATGAGATAGGTTTCTGTCAAGGTTATTTTGCCCTCTACCTATAAAAAAACTCCAGCCTTTTATGAGTGAGACCGTCTCTGAAAATAAGATTTGCTGAGGGTGGGGAATGGGGAATAATTGCCAGCTTTTGAAGAAGAGATGAAGTAGTAGAGTTCAAGGTTGCTTCCTCCTTTTCCAGTAATAAGAAGCAAAGTACTGTTAACATGAAACCTAGAAAATATTTATGGAAGATATGTAGAAAGGAAAGTCAGATATCTTTTTACTTATTATGTATTTTATTTGTAGTAAGTAAACATAAAGTCAGGTTAACCTAGCATACATTAAGACAATTATTAATTATCTGTAGCTGTCCAAGTAGTTCATACCAGTGAACAAGCACAGAGAGCACAAACTCTGGAGCCAGACAGCTTTGGATTCAAAATCTGGCTATACTTCTCTCTGAGTGACCTTGGCAAAGTGACTTAACCCCTCTGGGGACAGTTTTTTCATTTATCAAATGATGATAATAATAGCACCTACCTCATAAAATCATAGTAACAAATAAATATATGAGAATAGTGCCTGGTACATAATAAGCAGTATAAGTATTGGCTATTTTTATTTATTATTATTAAAATTATTAATTTTTTTATATTCTTGTTTAATATATTTACATTGTAGGTGATCGACATAGACAAAAAGCAGAATTTGGAAACCAAAAAAACCCAAATACTGATTGAAGATATTGAGGATAATGAGCTAACTGAGCAACAGAGGAAGATATTTTCTCTACTTCAGGAGAAAAATGAACTCCAGCAAATGTTAGAGACTATTACAGCAGAAAAGGAACAATTGAAGACTGACCTAAAGGAAAATATTGAAATGGTAGGATTTAGCACTGTATACTTGGCAATATGTTTTTGTCGTTGTATGTTTTATCATTTTTACCAACTTTTTTTGGGTATGGGAGCCATGATGGCGCAGTGGTTAAGCACTGGGCTGCTAACCAAAAGGCTGGCAGTTCGAATCCACCAGCTGCTCCTTGGAAAACCTATGGGGCAGTTCTACTCTGTCCTATAGGGTCACAATGAGTTGGAATCAACTCAATGGCAATGGGTTATTTGGGTATAGTTTACATGCAATAAATGTATCTGATGTAGGTAGGTATACAGTATGATGACTTTTGACAACAAATGTCTACTTATGTATCCTCCACCCCAGTCAAGATATAGAACATTTTCATCACCCCAAAAAAATTCCCTCATATCCCTCCTCAGTCAATCCCCATCTTTCCGTCTGCCCCAGACAATCACTGTCCTGATGTTTTTCATCTCAAATGACTTATCTCCTAGAACTTCATACAAGTGGAATCATACAGTGTGTAGTTCTTGCATCTGACTTCTTTTCTACATTCCTTTTTACTGCTGGGCAGTATTCTATCATATGAATATTCCACGATTTGTTTATCCTTTCTTCTGTTGATGGAAATTAGAGTTATTTCCAGTATTTGGCTATTTTGAATAAACCTGGTGTAAACATTCTTGTATGAGTCTGTTTATGTACTTTTTTTTTGATAATGTATTGTGGTAGATAATGTATTTAGGTAGAAACCTAAACTGAATAGCTGGGTCATAGGGAGGTGTATGTTTAACTTGATGAGAATTTGCTAATTTCCAAACTAGTTGTACCATTTTTATATTCCCACCTGCAAAGTAAGAGAATTCTTGTGGCTCTGCATTCTCACTAACACTGCATATTGTGGTATTTTTAACTTCAGCCATTCTGGTGGGTATTACCACATTATGGTTTTAATTTGCATTCCCCTGATGACTAATGATGTTAAGCTTTTTTTATGTGATTATTGGCCATTGTATGTATATCTTCTATAAATTATCTGTTCTCTCAGTGATATGTTGTAGATTTTCAGCATACTGGTCTTGTACCTATTTTGTACCTAAATTGTTCCTAAATGTTTCTCTTTTTTATGCTGTTGTAATTTTTTTTCTTATTTTTAAATTGTTCTTAGTGTTTGCCAGTATTTTCGAACCTACTTTAGTTTTTGTTTCTATGTTTGGGGCAATATAATGTGTATAGATTAAAATTAATGTTTTTGAAAAATTCACTGTGGACCACAGTGGAACCTGACCATTTGTGTTATGTTTTAATTTTCCATGTTTCTTGGGATTGTCTGTTTCATCAAAACGTCTGTATATAAATAAGCATACAAACAAAAGTCATACTCTTCTTAATCTCTGGCTTATTATGTTCTTGTGGCCTTGATAATTGAAAATGTCATTGTGTAAGCATAATAACTGGGATTGATTCAAGTCAGGCTAATGAAGAGTGGGCTACCATTTTGGACTTGCTGGTGACCAGTGCCCAAAACCAAAGCTATTCCAGTATATGAAAAGCCTGCTATCTGTAGCCTCATTATTAGTCAGTGAAAGTTAGAAATAGTCTTTGTTGGCCTAGGGACAGAAATAGACTAAGCTCTCATGATAGTTGCTAAATCCAGTTCTGATTCTCATGATAGGACATAAGTTGAGCAATAAAGAAACGAATAAAAAGCAGAATTTTGGCATCTGTATGATTAAATGAACTACTTTCTTTTCAATTAGTCTTTTCCTATGTGGTTTGCTCTGGTTTCTTAATTTGTACTCTGAGGTAAATGGTGATTTTTACCTGACTTTGTAAATGTAAGCTAGTATTATTTTTATTTCAATCTCAGTTTTTTAAAAATTCTAGACTATTGAAAACCAGGAAGAATTAAGAATTCTTGGAGATGAACTTAAAAAGCAACAGGAGATAATAGCACAAGAAAAGAGCCAGATCATTAAGAAAGAAGAAGAGCTTTCAAGGACCTGTGAGAGACTAGCAGAAGTTGAAGAAAACCTAAAGGAAAAGGTAAATTTTTAAAGTTCTCTTTCTGGCCATTTTATCTGACTAAACTTTTTTTGCTAATAAATTTTGATTCCCCATAGACGTGAATCCCAAAAATAGCATGTACCTCCCAAATGAATAGATCTTAATGCTAGTATTTTGGACATTTTCAACTCTCATGAGATCTTAATTAATATCCTTCATGAGAATAAGATTATTCTAGAGTTTTTAGGTGAGAGGAGGCTTTGTATCATCTAAACTAATCTCCATCTTTAGTCATACATTATGTTCATGCATTGACTGTTTATTGGACACTACCATGAGGAGGGCACTGATCTGGGTGCTTGAGATACAGTAGTCGACAAAACAAACATCCTGCCCTAATGGAAATGTATAAGTCATTCTCTAAACTGTAAGATGTGTCACTAATGCCTTTCTTTGATACATTAAAATATTTGGAGTAAACTACTGGTTGGAGACTGTTTTATATAATGCTTCATCTGGTGTCATCACGTAACTAGGTTCCACATAAATAATTGATAGACTTGAAGAAAATAAACTTTCTAATTTTAATTATTTTTGATAGGAATGTTTCTAAGATGTATCTTAACATGCTTCATTGGGGCGTAGTATAAGTAAGGACCCTTTTCTTGATGATTTAAGGTCATCTGTGTGAATAGTCTCATTCTGTGCCTTTATAGTTACAGTAAACTAGGATTTTTGAGGTGTGTCCTTTATGATATCCCACCGATAGCATGTTAACTTTTCATGTGGCTGCCTTGTTGAACAAATAGGTTAAGGAAGTATGGGTAGCTTTCCCTATCCTGTGGAGTTAAGTGTTTAGTCTATATGACAGCTATCCATGACTTAGGCCTTTTTCTCATATTTCCAGATTCTTTCCATCTCTTAGATGTTTATAGTTTTCTGAATCATTTCTTTCATAAAAGTAAGATGCTCTTAAAATATTTATATAAGAACTAAGACTCTTGTAACAATTGTACTGCCCAAGTAATTCTAAAATGCACCCACTGAAATCTTTATGTAATCTAAGGACGGTAACACATTCATAAGAGATAATGTATTGTGGTTTCCATTATTGTTCTTCTGTGGAGTGTTGTTTCCTGATATTTGTTTCCTTTTCATTCTTATCCATTTCACTGTCATCTAACTGAGTTTACTAAGACTTCATGTCTAGTTCATACTCCTACTAAAGAAGTGCAGTCCACAGCCTGTGAAAGTTGGTCCCTTAGGCTTTGTTTGGGGTACCCCTTAAGGACCTTGTTGGAAGAGAAAATAAATTATTCAAAATGTTTTTAATGAGAAATTACAGTTATTTGACAGCTATGTTTACATATTTAATTAGTTTCTCTTTTACTTTTTCTCATTTTCACTTTACTTCCTTAAAAATCGTATCATACCTAGTACACTGTGTTTGGAACATTAGTTTACTTTTAATGTTACTTGTCTGTTTTCACTGGGGATGTAGGCAAGGCTGTCATAGTGATCATTTCAGTTTTACATAAGAATTCTGAGACAATAGAGGCAAAATGATAATTATAAAAACTGTATCTTAAGAGCCAACAACTTCAAGAAAAACAGCAACAACTCCTTAGTGTAAGAGAAGAGATGAGTGAGATGCAGACAGAGATAAATGAAATGGAGAATTTAAAGAATGAACTGAAGAGCAAAGGATTAGCATTGGAACGTACAGAAATGGAGAAACTTGAGTTGACTCAGAAACTCCATGAAAATAATGAAGAGATGAAATCTATAACCAAAGAAAGAAATGATCTGAAGAAATTACAGGAGTCATTTGAAATAGAGAGAGATCAACTTAAAGGATACATAAGAGAAATTGAAGCTACAGTAAGTTCCTTTTCCTTCATCTATTGCATGTTTTTTTAAAAAACTGAGCCAGTTGGCAGCCTATTAATGTAATTGCTATCAATAAGCCATATACCTGTAAAAAGTTGAATTGGCAAAAATTGTTTAATAGATATATTTACAACAATGACCAAAACAAAGAGCAGCTACTGAGGCTGCTTATGTACATCCAAACACCTCACGGGATTTGATTCATTGGTTTGGAGGTTTAGGGTCATGGTTTCATGGGACATCCCAGGTAATTGGCCTAATTAATGTATTTAGTGCTTCTCTTCTACCTCCTAGTTTGTTGTATAGTGCCTGGGATCTTAAAAGCTTGCAAGCAGCCATCCAAGGCACAACAATTGCTCACTATTCACCTGGAGCAAAAGAGGAAGAAGGAGAGTCAGGAATAGGAGAAAGAAATGGAATGTGTGGCTAATTGCCTCCATGACAACTGCCTCCTTTGCCATGAGACCAGAGGAACAGGATGGCACCCGGCTACCATTATTGAACATTTTGATCAAAGATTCTATAGAAGAGTCCTAATCAAAAGGGGGAGAATGTAGAACAGATACCAAATTTTCATGGAATCCATACTTTCTGAAGCCATGAAAGCAGGATGAACCCCCAAAACTATTGCCCTGAGATAATCTTCAAATCTTAAGCCAAAAATATCCCCTGAAGTCTTCTTAAAACTGATCGATAATTTAGTTTAACTAATAAAGAATATCTGCCTTGAGCATTGTGCTTTTTTGCGATCTATCTATATGTGATCAAATTGACAACAGCAACTTGAAAGATTAGATAGGAAACTTAGAGAGCAGTGAATTTATGTTAATGGGGGAGGAACAACTCACCAAAGGAGGGTGAGAATGGTTGCACAACTGAAAGAATGGAATCAATTCCACTGAATTGTATATGAAGAAACTGTTGAATTGGTATATGTTTTGCTGTGTATATTCTCAACAACAGCAAAAATAAATAAGTTTTAAAAACTGAGCCAATTGGAAAGGAGGAGGCAGTGTTGGAATGATGTTGTTATAAACTTTAAATTTCAATTGCTCATAAAGGGCCTGGAAACAAAAGAAGAACTAAAAATTGCTCATATGAATCTTAAAGAATACCAAGAAACTATTGATGAACTAAGAAGAAACGTTTCTGAAAAGACCGCTCAAATAATAAATATTCAGAAGGACTTAGAAAAATCCAGTGCTGAATTACAAGGAAAGGTATATTGTTTTTTCTTCCTTCCCTCCTTTGTCCTTCCTTTCTCCTCTGTTGGAAGGACAAGCAGTTATGGTTCATTTATTTATTGGACATGTATCTGTTGAATGTCCACTGTGCCAGGCACAGTCCTAGGTGATGGAAATACAGTGGGAATAAGATAGACTAAATCCCCATGTTCATAGAGCTTATTTTGTAAATGGAAGGAGGTAGCTGATAAGCAAACAAGTGAACGAGGTAATTTCAGATAGTGGTGTGTTGTGGAGAAAATGAAACGTTGTGATCACTAGATCAATCTATGTTAAAAGTCTCCTATGTGACAGACATTGAGATTATGAATATGAATAAGATATTATCCTTTCCCTCCGATGTAAGCATGTAAAAAACTCCCTAAATTTACCAGTATGATTAATGTAGAATATGATGTGCAAATTACATGTTAGAACTAATGATCATGGAAAAGGGGAATCAGCCTGTTTAAGCAGAAAACTGAGACTCAGCAGTGGGGCCCGTCTGAGAATGAGTACAATATATTTAGTGGGATGTGATCTTCCCTATGATTTTTCTCCAGTAGCGTTCGGGAACTCAATATAGAAATGAATAAGTGTGCGTGCAACTGACTAAATTAACAGTTTTGTTGGTAAAGTGTAGGGATTGGTGGGATTGGGATGCTGGTTAGAGAATGGTTCACTTTTGGATGTAAGCTGGAAAGAAAGTTGTAACAGAATATGACTGGCAGAGAAGAATTGAGCAGCTTTAGGGAAAATCAAGGGAAAAAGAATAAATAGGGGTTAGTGACGTGAGGTGGGCCCTGAGGGTTTAGGATTACTTCCATGCTGTCGAAAGTATCCTGTTCTTTTCCCTTTAAAAAAAATTGTGGTAATGATCTCCAGATAATAACTTTGGTATTTTATGAATGTCCCAAGATCCCAGCACTTCATGTGGAACAGGAGCCACCTGCTAATGTGAAAGAAGTCAGTGAGACTCAGGAGACAACGGATGAGCCGGTGCAGTTGGAAGGACAGTTCAAAGCCAAGGGTTCAACACCTGCAAGCGTAGAAATGGAAAGGCTCAGGTTGACTGCAGAACTTCAAGAAACTAACGAAGAAATAAAATCTATAACTAAGGAGAGAGATGATCTTAAAATGATAAAAGATGCGCTTCAAGTTGAACGTGACCAGCTAAAAGAGGACATAAGAGTAACTTTGGCTAAAGTAAGTTTCATCCTTTTCCCTCATTTGGTAAATGTTTTCTAAGAATCAGGTCTTTGGGAAAAGAGGCATTTGTACTATGGTTATAATGTTACTATCAGTTTTTTTTTTTTTTTTAATGTCTCTTAATCATGGAAACATAACTAAAAATTGTTCATATTCAACTGCATGAATACTAAGAAACTATTGAAACGGAAAGAAAATATTTCAGAGAAGTCAGCCGTTTTCTCAAATATTCTAAATGATTTAGAAAAGGTAATGCTAAATTATAGGAAGGGTAAAGCCAAAAATGAATCCTCTATTTTCTTTTCTTTAAACCTATTCCTGCAGCATCCTGTAAGGGACTGCCGTCTTCCTCATTGCTTCAGCCAGAAATCTTAGAATCATCTCTACTAAATCCCTTCCTCCTCACCCACTCCATAATCCAGTCACCAGACCTTATTGATTTTAATGTGTGTGTATGTATATGTGTGTATCTACATAAATATGCCCTCCTCCTTTTCTGCACACGTTGCCATCACCCTAATCCAAGCCGCCATCATTTCTTTCCCTAGGTTTCTGCACTACCCTCCTAACTGATCTCCCCATGTTCATTCTTGTTGTTGTTGTTGGGTGTCGTCAAGTTGATTCTGATTCATAGCGACCCTACGTACTACAGAACGCAACACTGCCCAGTCCTGCGCCTCACAATCATTGTTATGTTTGAGCCCATTGTTGCAGCCACTGTGTCAATCCATCTCATTGAGGGTCTTCCTCTTTTTCGCTGACCCTCTGCTTTACCAAGCATGATGCCCTTCTCCAGGGACTGATCCCTCCTGGTAACATGTCCAAAGTATGTAAGACGTAGTCTCGCCATCCTTGCTTCTAAGGAGCATTCTGGTTGTACTTCTTCCAGAACACACACATTCATTCTTATACTTCTATAATCCTTTACATAACTGCACCAGAATGATCTTTCTGTAACACATATCCAGTTATGCCAATGTCCTTCTTAAAAATCTTTAATAGCGTATTTTTACTTTTGGAATAAAGACCAGAATCTTTCACATGGCCTGAGGCCTGGATCCTTTGGCCCTTTCTGGTCTCTAAACTTATTTCAACTCATTCTCCCTCCTGCTCGTCGTACTCCAGCGATGTTAGTCTTGTTCGTCTTGATCTCGGGGGTTTCAGATATTCTGGTCTCCCTACCCAGAGTTCTTCCATATCCCCTTCATTTGTAGCTAATGCTCACCTATCTCTCAGATCTTGACTGAAGCTTTCTCTCCCCCAGGAAGCCCTTCCTAACTACTCATAATAGGTTAGATTTGCCACTAATACCCTGGGAGAACCCAACACATCTGCTAAGATTTGGTAAAATATCTCTTTACCACTGAACCGTAAGTCTCAAAAACAGAGGTCATGTAAATCTCACGTGCCGTTTTATGCTCACAGCACAGTGAACCCTCGATAAATAAGTGTTTAATACCTAGATAATGCAAGTGTGGGAAGGTGGAAGGACTGCTGTGTAAATGATCCATTGAATCCTGCCTTAATTGTTGTAGAAGCATCCTGATTTCTTTTCCATGAAATGAAAGTATCTCCAGGTTACCAACCGTATTGTTTTATGATTCCCTTAAGATCCAAGAGGCTGAAGACAAACAAGAACAGTCCTTTAATATGAATGAAAAAGACAATGAAACTAAGAAAATGCTGAGTGAGATGGAGCAATTGAAGGAGCAATGCAAAGCCAAGGATTCCACACTGCTAGGAGTAGAAACAGAAAAGCTCAAGTTATCTGAGAGACTCCAAGAAAGTCAGGATGAAATGAAGTCTATAGCTAAAGAGAGAGATGACCTAAAGAAGCTCCAAGAAATTCTTCAATCTGAAAGTGACCAACTCAAAAAAAACATGGGGGAACTCATCGCTAAAGTAGGTTTCATTATTTTCCCTATGTATTTTTTTAATTTGTAAGCAAATATTTTTGTAAGAAAACCTTTAAAAAATAATGGAGTTAATTATAGTGTAATGATTATAATGTTTCTATAAAATTTCTTTCAATTTTCTCTAATAAAGCACCTGGAAATGGAAGAGAAACTTAAAGTTGCTCATTTCCACCTGAAAGAACAGGAGGAAACTATTGATAAGCTGCGAGTGAATGTATCAGAGAAGGAAACTGAAATATCAAGCTTTCAGAAGGAATTAGAAACAGCCAACCATGAATTACAGAAAAAGGTCAGTTGAGAGTGAAGGAAGAGTGGGAGAAACCTGGGAGATCACTAACTGGAAAGCACCCTGGTCTTTTTTCCTTAAAAAGAAGATATTTCTGGCTATTAACTTGTTATTTCATCATTATTTTAAGATCCAAGAGCTTCAGGAGAAACAGGAACAAATTCTTAGTGTAAAAGAAATCAGTGAGACTCAGAGAAAAGTGAGTGAACTGGAGCAAATCATGGAGCATCTCAGAGCCACAGAGTCAACACCTCAAAGTGTAGAAACTGAGAAGCTCATGTTGGCTGAAAGACTTCAGGAAAGTCAAGAAGAAATAAAAATTATAATTAAGGAAAGAGATGAACTGAAAAGTGTACAGGAGGCCCTTCAGATGGAGAGGGACCAACTCAAAGTAAACATTAGTGAAATTGTAGCTAAAGTAAGTTTGCCTCTTCTTATGTTTTTGGATAAATAAAAATAGTGGGAAGGCGATGATGATGTTCATGATTAAGTTTTGTTCATTTCCTCTAATCATAAAGGAACTGGAAACAAAAGAGGAACTGAAAACTGTGTACATTCATCTGAATGAGCACCAAGAAACTATTAATATACTAACAAGGAATATTTCAGAGAAGACGGATCAAGTAAACAATATGCAGAGGGATTTAGAAAATTCAAATGTTGAATTACAGGCAAAGGTAGATCTTGTTTTGTTAACTGATTATTGTGTTCCTCGTATCCTTTATGAAAGAAAAGAGTACATACATTAGACTAAAATGTAGAGATGATTGCAGATGGGTAGTAAGGTTGATGGAAATGTAAACTGATGCAATCTTGGAGAAAATGGAGTGGGGATAGTTAGTAATACTTTCCAAATTTTTCCATAAGCTTATTCATTGACCCTAAAGTCCCATTGTGGCTATTTATCATGAACAGATTTGCACAATTGTGCAGAGATATTTGTTGAAGGATAGTCATTGCAGCAAGTTACAATAACAAAATAAAACAAACAAAAAATAGGGAAAATTCTTACTGTTCATTAGTAGGGGATTGGTTAAATAAGTGCTGCAAATTCAGACTATGGAATATTATACCACAGATTTAAAGAAAAAAGGTAGAGCTACAGAATGTGTTTACATCTAAAAGTGATTTAGAGGGTGGAGAGCGGAAGGCCTGGGAGGGAGACCTGAAGTTTTTACTTCTAAGTCTATATCTTTCTATGCTATTAGAATTCTTTTACTCTGTGTATTATTTTTGTGATCTTTACAAAACCTAGTTAACATTAAGATACTAAAGGAAATGGTTAATAGGTTTGATATGTCAATTTTCTTAAAATTTCTCTAATAACAAAGGATCTAGAAAAACAAGAGGAACTAAAAATTGCTCACATGCATCTGAAAGAGCACCAAGAAACTATTGATAAACTCAGAGGGATTATTTCAGAGAAGGCAGATGAAATATCAAATATGCAAATAGATTTAAAGAGCTCAAATGCTGCCTTAAAAGCACAGGTATTTTTTCTTTTTAAGTTTCAATCATGTCTTTTGTGTAATGAAGCTGGATATGAATTAACCTAAAACTGAAGACAAATGGAGATTTGCCTACTCAATTTAGAAATTATCTGTTAGGTTTTTATCTGTATCTGTCTATATCTTAACTTATTGTATTATTATCTCAAGATACAAGGACTTCAAGAGAAAGAACATCAACTTCTTAAGGTAAAAAATGATCTCAAAGAAAATATGTACCAAATGGAGCAGTTGAAGAAGCAATCAGAGACCCAGAATTTAATTCTGGAAAGTACAGAAATGGAGAAGTTAAGGTTGTCTCAGAGACTTGATGAAACCCTTGAAGAAATGAGATCTGTAACTAAGGAAAGAGATGAACTAAGAAGAGTGGAGGGGGCCCTCAAAGTGGAGCGGGACCAGCTCAGGGAAAGCCTCCACGAAACAGAAGCTAAAGTGAGTTAACACTTACTCCTCTTCCTAGCTAGTAAATGTGTTATTTTTCTTTCAAGAATTAACACTTTTTTGAAAATGAGTAATACTGTTGGTGAGAGTGTGAACTGACTTTACTACTTTAGGGGATAATTTGCTATTCTTGAAAATTTAAATTCTGTAACTCTTGTTACAGTTGTTAGGTGCTGTTGAGTCGGTTCCGACTCATAGCGATCCTACAGGACAGAGTAGAACTGCCCCATAGGGTTTCCAAGGAGCAGCTGGTAGACTTGAGCTGCTGACCTTTGGATTAGCAGCCAAGCTCTTAACCACTACGCCAGCAGGGCTCCCCAAATTCTGTAACTAGCATTTTCTTCATGGATTTTATGCTACGTATATACTGACTCAATTGTTAAGGTATAGAAAAAAATACACACACCCCACAAGGTTGTTTATTGTAGCAGTTCGTAATAAAAAATTGGAAACAGCCTAAATGTCCATCCCAAGAAGACTGGGAAGATATGTACTATATGTCAAGTACTATGTAGCACATGTAAAAAAATAAATTAATTAATTAAATCGAATTGAATATCCTAACATGGAAGCCCAAGATAATTCTGAGAGGAAAAAAGCAAGCTGTAGAATAGCATGTATAAAATGTGTTTAGTTCTGGAATATAGGATTAGGGTGAGGGGGAGAGTACTGGGCTTCCTCTGAACCCTAGAAGTTTCCAGCAGCAACAAAGGTGTAGAGTAAGAAATGAAAGTTTTATTATTTTTATGAAGAAATGTATCACTTCCATTAAAAGTATTACTAATTAACAATATAAAAAGAGATGAATGATAGTTCTATATATGTCACTGTTCTTAAATTTTCTCTAATAAAGAATCTAGAAAAACAAGAAGAACTAAAAATTGCTCACATGATTCTGAAAGAGAGCCAGAAAAATATTAATAAACTCAAAGGGATTATTTCAGAGAAGGCAGATGAAATATCAAATATGCAAATAGATTTAGAAAACTCAAATGCTAAATTACAAGAAAAGGTATGTCAGGGGAGTAAGGCCTCATTTGAGTGAATATTTGATTTATTTGTACCTAAAATCCTTTGGGGATGTAAAATGGTTCAGTCACCTTGGAAAACTACTTAGCAGTTTTTACTAGAACTAAACATGTACCTACCTTATAGCTCAGCAATTCCACTAGCTGGGTGTGTACCTAAGAGAAAAGAGTGTGTACTTCCACAAAAAGGCATGTCCAAAAATGTTTATAATAGCTTTGTTCATAAGAGCAAGAAACTAAAAACAGCCCAAATGCCTATCAACAGAAGAATGGATAAATACGTTGTGATATATTTCTACAAATTAATACTACATGGTGATTTTTTAAAAAGAACAAATTACTGGAATGTACAAGAACATGGGTGAATTTCACATATTATTTTGGGTAATGGCCAGACAAAAGAGAGTGCATATTATACAATTCCATTCATATAAAGTTCAAAAGCAGGCAAAGCTGATCTAGGATGATAAAGGTCCGAATAATGATTACCTCTTGGCAGAGGTTAGACTAGGAAGGGGCTCATGGGACCTTATGGAGTGCTAGAAATGTTGTATATATTAATTTGGGTTGTAGTTACATAAATGTATTCTTACGTCATGAAGAATTGAGCTGTATACTTAAGATTAGTGCACTTCGTGTATACTACAAAATAAATTATTTGTGGAATTATGTAGGATATTAATAGGAGAGACATAGGAAGACTACATTCTTAATCATTTAGAAACTATTTTTTATCCTTTTCTTAAAAACCTTCTCTATCCTAATATGTTATTTTCTATTTATCTTAAGATCCAAGAACTTAAGGCAAATGAGCACCAACTTCTTAAGTTAAAAGAAGATGTCAGTGAGACACAGAAAAAAATGTGTGAAATAGAACGATTGAAGAAACAATTAAAAGCCCAAAGTTTAACTCTCGATAAAATAGAAATGGAGAATTTAAATTTGGCTCAGAAACTTCATGAAAACCTTGAAGAAAAGAAATATGTAATGAAAGAAAGAGATAATCTAAAGAAAGTGGAAGAAACTCTCAAACTGGAGAGAGACCAACTCAAGGAAAACCTATGGGAAACCATAGCTAGGGTGAGTTGTGCTTTTTCTTCCTATCCAGTAAACATGTTATTTTTAATACTGTTAGTGAGAATGTAAATGTTACAACCTTTTAAGGAGAGAGTTTGACAGTATGTTTATTAAAATGTATCAACATATATAAATGCTACAGCAATCCACTTCTATTAATTTATCCTACAGCAAGCAAAATTATACCAATGTTTACTGCAGCATTATTTGTGGTGACCAAAAGCTAGAAGGTCCACCAATGAGACAGTGGCTAAGTCGGGTTCATCTGTATAATTGGATACTAGGCATAAGAACAGGGGTGCTCTTTATATTATACTGATTTAGAAAGATGTCAAGCAGTATAAAGGGAGAAAAGCAAGTGGTAGAATCAGCAGGGAGCAGGACTAGGAGGGGAGAGGCGAGGGACAGGAACTTTGACTTTGTATCCTTCTGTACTGTTCTATCTGTGGTTGTTGTTTGGTTTTTTTGTGGTGGTTGTTTTTAACTCTTATTGTGTATTTTTTTAAATTTCATTTAAACTAGTTAATTAAGATGATTTGTGATTATGTCATCACATTTCTCAATTTCTTATAATAATAAAGGATCTGGAAACACAACAGGAACTAAAAATTGCTCGCATGCATTTAAAAGAACACCAGGAAACTATTGATAAGTTCAGAGAAAAAGTTTCAGAAAAGACAGCTCAAATTTCAGATATTCAAAAGGATTTAGATAAATCAAAAGATGAATTACAGAAAAAGGTGTGTATTGTTTTTGTTTTTCTTTAGGGAATAACTATATCCACAATTATTTGCACAATGAGAAGTGACATGGATATATAGATATGTAGAATAGACATATACATATATAACAAATAAACAGTATTTGCCTTTCTTGAAGGAATTCTATGTGCATTCCAACTTGTTTTATAATTATCTCAAGATCCAAGAACCTCAGAAAAAAGAGCTTCAACTTCTTAAATTGAAAGAAAATGCCAATAAAACTCAGAAAAAAATGAATGAAATGGAACAATTGAAAAAGCAATTTGAAGTCCAAAATTTATCTATGCAAAGTGTGAAAATTAAAAACTTGCATTTGACTAAGAAACTTCATGAAAACCTTTAAGAAGTAAGAATCATAGCTTAGGAAAGAGATGAGCTAGAGAATGAAAGAGGGTCTCGAAATGGAGATAAACCAACTCAGAGAAACCTTGAGAGAAATTATAGCTAGAGTGAGGTCAGAATTTTCCCTTATCTGGTAACTAAGCTTTCAGCTTTCTTGGAAAGGGTAACAGCACTTTTTTTTTCCCCTAGAAATTTTTACAAATAGTAAATGATGATGAAGGATGATAGTGAGAAAACCATTATTGTAAAATATCTCACACAAGTAGGAAATTGTTTTAAAAGGAGCAAATATGTTTTCCAGAAGATGCCATCTTAAATTTAAGAACAACTTCTTAAATAAAGCAGACTATTTTATTTTTCTGAATATAATTTTTTAAAGATTATTTAAACCAAGAGATAACATTCTTTTTAGTGGAGAAATATTTGAAGGATTAAGTTCATAGAAGATTAAACGTAAGTAGACTCCCTTCTCTTATGCAGTCTGTATGCTGAGCAAATAATCTGAGAAGCTGGACTATATAAAGAAGAGTAAGGCATCAGGATTGGAGGAAGACTCATTAACAACCTGCAATATGCAGATGACACAACCTTCCTTGCTGAAAGTGAAGAGGATTTGAAGCACTTACTGATGAAGATCAAAGACCACAGCCTTCAGTATGGATTACACCTCAACGTAAAGAAAATAAAAATCCTGACGGTTGGACCAGTAAGCAACATCATGATAAAAGGAGAAAATATTGAAGTAGTCAAGGATTTCATTTTACTTGGTCCACAATCAACACCCCCAGAAGCAGCAGTCAAGAAATCAAATGATATATTACATTGGGCAAATCTGCTGCAAAAGATCTCTTTAAAGTGTTAAAAAGCAGAGATGTCACTTAAGGACTAAGGTGCGCCTGATGCAAGCCATGATATTTTCAATTGCCTCATACGAGTGTGAAAGCTGGACAATGAGTAAGAAAGACCGAAAGAGAATTGATGCTTTTAAATTACGATGTTGGCGAAGAAAATTGAATATACCATAGACTGCCAGAAGAAGGAACAAATCTGTCTTGGAAGACATACAGCCAGAATGCTGCTTAGAAATGAGGATGGCAGGACTTCGTCTCGCATACTTTGGACATTTATCAGGAGGGAACGTCCCTGGAGAAGAACATCATGCTTGGCAAAGTAGAGGGTCAGAGAAAGAGAAGACCATCCATGAGATGGATGGACACAGTGGCTACAATGATGGACTCAAACATAGCAATGATTGTGAGGATGGCACAGGACCAGGTAGTGTTTTGTTCTTTTGTACATAGAGTCACTTTGAGTCAGGACTGACTGTACAGCACCTAACAACAGACCCCTTTCTCTACTTGATAGAGTCCTAGACGTATGGTTCTTACTAGTGAAGTTAGAATGAAAAAAGAGACAAGAAGAATATAAAAGAGAAAGTTCTTCTAGTATCACTGTTTACAAATATTTAGAATCACGTATCTTAAAAAACCTAATTAAATTGTCCAAAAAGTAAATTCAGACAAATAAAAAGTTGTGTGAAATCTAAAAAAGAAATCTTTCATTCCCACACTTCAAGAGTAAGGAAAGAATAAAGTAGAAAACAATATCCTTTGCAATCTCAACAAGCACTTGAGAATCATCTTTATGTTAACTCTAAGTAAATTTTTAAAGAGATTTAATTCATTCAACAAATATTTATTGAACAATTAGGCATTCTTCTAGGTACTGTAGTGAAGAACAAGTAGGAGAAAAAACAATCATACTTTTAATCAAAAATACAAAATAAAAACAGAATGTGAACTTTTTATGCCAGGGTATTTGTAGTGGCTTGAAACACTATAAATAGTATAGGGGGTTTGGCTAGTATATTTGTTGTTGTTGTTAGGTGCCATCAAGTCGGTTCCGACTCATAGCGACCCTATGTACAACAGTACGAAATGCTACTTGGTCCTGTACCATCCTCACAGTCTTTGCTGTGTTTGAGTCCATTGTTGCAGCCACTGTGTCTGTTTAGTTGGCAGCAATGATTATAATGCAGAGACTTGGAAGAATAGGAACCAGAAATAAATCTAAAACAAATCCTGTCTCCAAAAAACATGTGGTTTGCCTACTATTTTTCCCAATGAGTTGCAGTCACTCACGGAAAGACTTAGTGGCACTATTTATTCTTTTTTTTATTTATGTATTTTTTTTGGCCATTTTTAGCATCGTTTTTTAGTTATAATATTTAATTTCATTATTGAAACAATGTCAAAAATGTGTATGATTAGACATTATATGTGAGTGTTGTTATAGCTGAAGCCCTGTTTATTTGTTTACACTAAAGCAGGACCAACAGAACCACAAAGAAGTGGTTAAATATGGAAAAAGTTCACTGTGTGATGGAAAACAGCACCTTACGGAAAGCCTCAGAGAAAAGTGCTTTAGGATAAAAGTAAGTTACTCGTTAAAACTACAAATGAATATCAGTGCTTTTCTCAATGGCTTTCTAAAGACTGAGAAGGAATCAAAGGAACCTCCATGGAATGAATAGATAATGCTCAATATTTTTTTAAACATTATAAGCTATGCGTATGTGTGTATATGCATATATACATCCATACACTCACCAACAGTGGGATGTTGCAATTTAAGGCCTAACTGGACAGGTGATAATCAAACAGATACCTGAAAGAGGTGACGGTGTCTAGGGGAAGAGCATCGTACGCAGAGGGAACAGCAGGTATAAATCTCCTGAGGTAGGAGCCTGCCTAGAGGTTGAAGAAACATTAAGAAGGGGGAAAGCTAAAAAGGAATGATGTCAGAGAGTTAAGGGGACAGAGGTAGGCTGTGGGAACTTATGAGGACTGGGTTTTACTCTGAGATGGAGATCTTCTAGAGGGTTTTGACTGTAAGAGAGACGTGATCTGACTTAACATTTTAAAAGGATGACTCTGGTTGTTGTGTTGGACAGACAGAGTGGAAGCAGGAATTGCAGTAATCCAGGCAGGGATGGTGCTTGGCAGTAGTGAGAATTGTTTCAATTTTGAATATATATTTAGAGTAAAGCCAATAGGATTTTCTGTCACCCTAGTAGAATGTAAGGTGCCTGAGGAGAGAACATTTTTTCATCATTTATGGCTGTATCACTTGCCACATTCCTGATAGAAGTCAGGCTCCAATATGCATTTATTATAAGTACAGATGAATGTTTATGCAGGGCTGCTCCAGGCTATAAATTGATTTTTCCTAAGACCTAAGACAGGAATCCCCTGTCCAACATCCCACGTTAGTGAGTATCTAGCTTTTTCTTAAATTATTTAAAAACAGAGGTTATTAGTGTCAGAAGCCCATTGTTCTATTATTTAGCATCCTAAACTAAACTTGCTACTTATTACATCATTGTAACAACTTGAACTTAACACGCTCCTCCACCTGTGCTCTGATCAGTGTGCCACCTGCCTGGCCACTAGTCGTTTGAGCTTATGGGCCCAGGTTCAGTGAGTGCCTACCACATGCCAGGGAGTCCCTGAGGGGTGCAAACAGTTAATGCGTCTGGCTACTCACTGAAAAGCTGAAGGTTCAAATCCATCCAGAAGTGCCTCAGAAGAAAGGCCTGATGATCTATTTCCGAAAAATCATCCATTGAAAACTCTCTGGAGCACAGTTTTAATCTGACACACGTAGGGTCACTATGAGTCAACATCTACGCAAAGGCAATTGGTTACCACATGCCAGGCACTGTACTGGGTGCTTTACCTCATGAGATAGATTTTATTACTCCTTTTATGAACAAGGAAACAGAGAGGAAATTGATCCTAAGGTCACACAGCTAATAAATAGGTAGAATCAGGATTTAAACGCAAATCTGACTAACTTTAAAACTTGAGTATAGAAATGTATTTTATAAATAATTATTTTCTTTCCTTCAAGCAGTAATAACAAATGTCTATAGAAACTTTATAGATTACATGTATGTAGGTAGACATATTATAGTTTACTCTTCATTTTGTAGTTGAGAAAATGGCTTCAATGACTTTTGCAGCCAGTAAGTGGCAGAGCTAGAACCTGGATTCTCCGATTCAGGGTTAGAAAACTCAGATTCATGGCACATAATAGAAACGTGTGAAATAGCTCTACGAAACCAGCCAATAGCCAGTTTGATTCTTAGTCGCTTGTTTTATCTGCTAACTCATAGTGCCAACTACAAACATAATCACATTCAGCCTTGAGCCACAGTATATACTAGAATGAATGCACTCATTTCTCTTCAGACTGTGTCAGTGTTCATTCAAATCGTGGATGTTCTTAGCTGACCAGATATTAAAGAGTTTTATAAAGCTGTGGTAATTAAAACAGTATGGCACTTATATTAGAATAAACTGCATGTTAGTTAAATCAAGTAGATAACTAAGAGTAGACTGTGGTGTCTATAAGTATTAGGAGAATGTAAGAAGGAAGGCATCACATAGCTATTGGAAGGGTTCAATTAGATTAATCAATAAATAATACTGGGAAAAACAGTTCTTAGACTAAAATCGGGTCAAAATAGCATCGTACACCACATGAATTTATCAATAACTTTTTAAATTAAAGTGAAAAAGAAATATAGGTGAATATTTATCTCTGGGTGAAAAAGGATTATCTAAAAATAAAAGAGTGGGAGAAATTACAAAAGAAATTATTAATAGGTTTAACTACATATAAATTTAAAACTTGCATATTTAAGACATCATCAACCAAATTTAAAAGACCAATAAACTAGGGGGAAAATATGCCACAAATGTTGTAGTGATATTCATGTAGCAATAATATATAAATAGTGTACAAATAAAACAGTAAGAAAAATTATATAAAGATATTAGACAATTGAGCAAAGGACAAAAACGACCTACTTGTAGAAGATAAAAGCAGAATGTTTAATTATAGTAAAAAAAGTAAATATATTTTAAATCACATTCATCCAGCCAGCATTTATTGAGGTCATCCCAAGTAGTGGGAACTGGACTAGGCAGCGTGGAAGCAGATAAATAAGATACAATTCATGTTGCTCAAGATTTCAGCAGCAGAAACAAACAAAATACCTGATATTTCTAAAACAATGTGGTAATTATAGTGCTAGAATTATGCATAGAGTTCTAAAGGAGTAGTAGATTTGGAAGTTGTCAGCACAGAAATAAGATAGTATTGAACATATAAAAGTAGCTGGACTCACACAGGAAGAGTCTAGAATTAGGCTAGCACTGGGCCCGGGACAGGGCCTGGAGAACATGAACTTTTGAAGAAATCAGAGCTGGTAGATGGGGAGCCTCGGAAGTCCCAGTTAAATGAGAGCAGTGTAATGCCTTGGAGGCACTGGAGTAGAGAGTTTGGTAAAAGGGGGAGTGAAGTGATGAAAAATAATAGAAGGATACAAATTAAAATAGCAGTGAGATACTAATGTTTTATCCAAAGTCAGGTCTTCTTGGGTTGTTTGGTTTTTTGGGTTGGTTGGTTTGTGTTTTAAATAATATTTCATTCTGACAAGATTGTGATCAGACAGGATACTCCCTTATGGGAGGATAATTTAGTCCACTTTTTCTACAAATTGTTAGTCAGTATCAAGGTTTTCAAAGTGTTCATATCTTTTGGCCCAGTAAATCCATTTTAAGGAATCTTTCCTGAAAAAAGTTATTGGAAATGCAGTCAAAGATTTGTGAATAAAGAACCCCATTGTAGTAGTATTTTTAGTAGCAAAATTTAGACTTATGTATCAGAAGTCTAGAAAATGCTAAGAAGTTTTTATCCATGTAACACAATATTGAGCAACCATTGATTTCAAACTAGGATTTCACGGACTTTTAAAATATCATAAAAAGTAATGAGTGCCGTCTTGTAATTCTAAAAGCTGTTTATAAAATGATATATACTATAATTGCAATTATATTTGTACATATGCCTGCATGCCTAAGCAAAAAGACTAAAAAGAAAATACATCAAAACAATATCAGTGGTGATTTCTCTTTTTCATTGTTATATTTATTTAATGTTTAAATTTTTCCTTAATAATTATGTATTATTTCTATAATCCAAGATCAACAATAGCAGTTCTGTTTTGTTTTGTTTTTTAAACACAAGAGTCTTAATTTTTCTCCTACAAAAAGTGTTAAAGTATAAGTTTTTTTATAATCCTAGGACTGAAACCATTTATTGTTAATTTGTAGAATGAATTTTTAAATGAATTCTAATTTTGTTTAGGAGCTTCTGAAGAAATACTCAGAGATGGATAATTCTTATGAATGCTTGAATATATTGTCTCTTGATTTAGAAAAGGAAATTGAAACCCAAAAAGAGCTTTCAATTAGAGTAAAAGCAAAACTCTCACTTCCATATTCACAAGCCAAACAGATTCAAAAACTTCTCTCTGTAAACCAAAGATGTTCTACGGAATTCCATAGAATCATGGAGAAACTTAAGGTACCACCTTTTTGAGTAATATCCTTATAAATGTCCATAAATTTCAATGTATTTAAGTTGTGCTTTGGGAGTTGGCATATTTGATATTAATGTATTTACTACCAAATTATGGATAATAGAGCTCATATGCAAGATCTTCAACGCACCTAGAAGCTGTTCATTTATCAAAACCTGAGCTCTACCTATGGGCCTAGGCACTGTACTCAGGAGACAGATATAAATAACATCTCAAATACCTCAGTCTAGTCAGTGAGGCAGACATACAGACAGGTTATAAGTGCAGTGATAGAAATATAGTCCTATGAAGTAGCAGATAAAAAGTTACACAAGATGTGGCTGTAGTGGAAGCCAGAGTCAAGCCCTAAAGCTTGGGGTTCACTTGTAGGTGATAAGGAGCCATTGAACAGTTTGGAGAGGTGGGAGTAACATGATCAAATTACCATTTTAGGTACTTTGCTACAGAATGAAGAAGAAAGTAGTTTGAGGGGAATAAGCCTATTGACAGAGAACAGACAAGAGGCTGTTGCAGTGGTGCAGATGAGGTATCATGGGTGACTGTACTACTAGAGGAGCCCTGGTGGCGCAGTGGTTAAGAGCTCGGCTGCTAACCAAAAGGTTGGCAGTTCAAATCTACCAGCCACTCCTTGGAAACCCTGTGGGGCAGTTCTACCCTGTGCTTTAGGGCCACTATGAGTCGGAAGTGACTCAACAGCAATGGGTTTCATTTGTACTAGTAGAGGTCCGTGGTTTACACTGGCTGCTAACCAAAAGGTCAGTGGTTTGAATCCGTCTAGCGGCTCTGCAAAAGAAAGACCTGGTGATCTACTCCGTTAAGACTGCAACCGTTGAAAACCCTATGGAGTACAGTTCTACTCTGACACACACGGGGTCGCCATGAGTCAGAATCGACTCGATGGCAACAGGTTTGGCATACTACTAGGTGGGAGTCCTTGGGTGGTAAAAACACTTAAGCCTTCAGATACTAACCAAAACGTTGGCAGTTTGAATCCACCCTGAAGCACCTGGAAGAAAGGCCTGGCGATCTACTTCCAAAAGATCACAGCCATTGAAAACCCTGTAGAGCACAATTCTTCTCTGACACACATGGGGTCGCCATAAGTCGGAATCAACTCAACAGCAACTGCTTTGAGTTTTTGTTTTTTAATACTACTAGGGAAGATGTAGGGATGGGGAAGAAGAAATGGATTGAGGAAACATTTAGCAGCTAAAATGGTAGGTCGGCATGATTAGTAGTAGATGTAAGGGAGAAGTTAGTTTGAGTCCCAGGATTTGCACTTAGCCATGATTGTGTATAGTAATGCCATTAACTGAGATCAAGAAAGAAAAAAAAAGAGCAAAATGGGTGAAGCAGGAGGAGAGATCAGATGTTTAGTTTGGGATGTTTTGAGGTTGAAGTACCTATGATGGAATATCCAGGAAGGGAAGCCCAGTAGGCATTTAACTGTGAGTCTGATGTTTGGAAGGAGAAAGATCTGGGACTCAACAGCATGTAAACCAACCCCATTGCTGTTGATTCGATTCCCACTCATAGCGACCCTAT